GGCAGAAAAGCTTTTAAGAAAGCTCGCGCTGTTGGGCACGAAGAAGGTTGGCGGTGGTGCAGCAGCGGTGAAACAATGTCGCTGCTTGGCGCGCCATCTACGAGCTTTCAGGCGAGTAGCGAAAAATTGCTGTTAATGCTGCCAATCTGCTCTGACGACCGATGTCTTTTAAAATTGTAGGACGACGATGGCAGCTTTCAGTACAAAAGTGGTCTTCCTTGGCGCAAGCTGGGGATTAACTTCGGTATCTTTATTGTCACTGTGCTGCTCACAGCGCTCCAGGGTGGGAGATACTTCCCCAGTCCGCTCGGAATCCCTCCTACGTCCTTCTTCTTCTTGATTGTCTCGATGCTGCCGTTCATTTTTCTCTCGGTCGTCTCGCATTATCAGATGAAAGACGTTGTGGCGACATACCAAAGGCAGCAGAATCCACGATTTATCCTTGCCCCGAACGAAGTCCAGGTAACAGTGCTCGCCACCACATTTCATTCCACATCTTTAACGATTTTTTCATTACAGTGGTCCCCGGAATCAATCAGGAAGATGCCTCTGCGCTTGCTTGGAATCGGAGCGATTGGAGGAGCGTTTGGTGTAGGCGGTGAAGGTGCGACGTCAGGCTTGCTGCGTGGACTTAATGTCTCCCCTGCAGCTGTGTCCGCCATGTCAGCCACGGCTGTGTTCTTTGTCAGCGGCAGTACGTTCTCTCCTTATATGGGATTACCTAAGCATGAGCAAATGCACTCACGTTGTGTGGCATTGTCTTTTGCAGTGGCGTCCTTCGACTTTTTCCTGTGGGGGAAGCTGGACCTGAATACGGCCAAGTTACTAATGCCGCTCGGTTTTGTGATGACACTGCTCGGTCGTTTGTGTCTGATCAAAGTCGCCCGCAAGGCCAAATCGCGTGCGTTGCTTCTCTTCGCTATCGCCGGGGCGATGCTTATCAGCATCTTTTCACTTGCCTTTTTGGAGCTGCGCGCTCTTTTCGGGTTTTAGGTCAGAATAAGAGGTCAAAATTAATCCCCGTTTTATCACTAAAAAACTGGCTTTAGGCATTTAAAGAAGGGTCTCAATACAGGAGGGGGAACGGACGAAGATCCCAGTGGACGGTGGCGCGAGACAAGGCCGAGTCATGGCAGAGACCGGAGCCCATGCACGTGAGAACGGCGTGAGCCACAGGAAGCGGCGCGAGGCCATGCCTGGCGGCGAGTCGGCGCCCAAGAAGATCAAGCTGGAGGAAGACACGCCGCCGGAGGCCAACCCCAACACGATTGAGGCCGTGAGGGAGAAGAACAAGGCGCTGGAGATCGACATGAGGGAGAAGAACAGACGTATCGCCTACCTGACTAAGAAATGCGAGGCGTTGTACCGTTCGCGAGGCGTAACGAGCGCATCGTTCCGCTGCTTGAGGAGGCAGTGGTTCCAGCTACAGGACGAGCTTCTCGCTGCAGTTAAGACTGTAGATCCCTCTGCCGTGTCAAACAAGGCCTCGAAGGAGGCTTGGCAGGCTGCTCTAGACACTGTAGACGGCTTCGGACAGGTTCGCATACACGCGGAGGAGCTCAAATTGAATTTACCAGAGTGGTTCATCACTGTGGCTAAGGACGCAGAGCTCGAAGAGCCGGACGCTGATGTATCGTTGCCGTCTGATGATAATGCTGATGACAGCGCATTTATTAAAGCAGATGAGTTATCAAATATGGAGAAAGAGGTGTACGAGCAGCTGAAACAGAAAAGCGAGCAGACGAAGAAGTTATTGCAGAAACTACTCGTCGCAGTTGGCAGCACGTCTCAAGATAAGGCAAAAGCGATTGAGTATGCACATATTCTACAAGAAAAACGAGCAGCAGTTGCGGAAACACTGAGCTTGAAGAGCCAATTACAAGCGGTGCGTGCAGTGATGTAGCGATTGCAAATTGGTGGGCTTTAGAACTGATTAGTAATTTTTCTTCGTGACGCAGTTCAAAACACGAATAGCTGAACTCGAGCGTGACATAGAAGCCAAAGAAACGGAGCGACATCGTGCATGTCGAGACTACGACCGGTTAAGCGCATATGTGGAACAACGGGGAGGTGTAAATACCGACAACGCCGATGTTGGCGAAATTAAAATGGAGAACGCTGCAGATGATGATAAAACTGGTGATAAAACTTCTTCAGGATTGTCTAGTACGGAGATGGTGAAGCAGGAAGCTCTTGTGGAGAAGGAGAAGGAACATGCGAAGACTGTTGCAACTCTGAGGGAGAACATGGGGATCTTGAGTAAGAAGTTGTACCAAGAGCGTCATAAAGTCGATACCATGAAGCGAGAGCTGGAAAAAATCAAGGCTTCCGAAACAGCGGTAAGCAATTGGAGTGCGTGGGAATGCAGAAAATCCACTTAGCTTATTGAGTGATTGTGCTTCATTGTTGTTTTACAGTGGAAAAATGACGAAGCTGCAATGATTCAAGATCATGACGAAAAACTCAAACAGCTTCGCGATGATAAAGCCCACGTCGACGAAGAGTACAAGAAACTTCTCCACAAAACGAAGGTATTAGCAGATTTACGTAATTCAAATTGATTTTATTATCTGATATTGCTTTGCTCGATCCAGGATCTCGAGCACCACATGACCGAGAAGTGGGAGAAAAAGATCACGAAAATTCAGGCGGAAATGAGCAAAACGAAGTCACAGATGGATGAGTTAAACCTGAAGAACGTATCATTGCGAGAAAAAATCTCCAACGCATCGACGTACAGAGATCAGGTGTGAGCTAATGGAGCAGGATGATTGAAGGTTATCATCGCTAACGCTTCTGCCTTTGCGTCAATTTCACAGCTAACTGAAGCGAAGTCTGAGCTGCAATCAGTAAAACGTGAAAACACGAACTTGAAGACACAAATTGAGCGTGAACGGAGCCGAGCAGATCGAGTACAAGCCTCGGCAGATAATCACGAAACTCTGACACTGACAAAGAAGGTGATACAGTTATTCTCTGTGTGTGGGCTTGATTTGCTCGATGTTTGACTGTATTTGTTTGTAGGTGGCTTTGTTGGAGAAGGAGAAGCTAGAGTTGCAGCAGACGTATGACACACTGAAACAAGCAGAAATGTACGATACCCTTTCATCGTGGTTTTTATTCTTGAAGGTCTGACGAATGCTGCTTTCTACCGACAGGAAAAATGCTGATGAAAAGCTGACTGACGCGTTGAAGCGGTTATCCGAAGTGGAGTCTAAATTCGAGCAAGAAAGGAAAGAACACCACGAATGTAACGCAGATAGGGAGAAGCTGCGTGCTCAGATCAAGGACATGAAGGCTTCCAGTGAAGCTTCTAAAGAAGAAAACGACGCCTTACTGTTGGAGATTGAGACGATGATGAAGGATGTGGAATCGGTGCGTCACGGCCGGAAAAAGTTTATTCAGCAGATTGAGGAGAAGCGCAATGCCAATAAGAAGCTTCACACGTTGCTTGCAAGAGAGGAGCAAGCGAAGGCGCACTGTTTCGAGGAGTTAGCTGCGGTCCGGCTGCAGGTCTCATCTCTGAGCACCGTACACAAGCACCAGAAGACGTTTATTGAGTCGTCTAAGGTACGTTTTAGTCAGCATTCCTATGCTATTTAAACTCTTTGCTGACATTGCTTCGATGCAAATGCATGTTATAGGAATCTTTACAGGCAAAGGAGATCGAGCTCGAGAAGTTAAAGGAATATATCAAGTCCATTGAGGCAGAGCGTGAGGCTTCAGATGCCGAAAAGCGCAAACTGATGCGAGATGCAGAAGTAGCGAAAACGATTTGTGCGACTGCGGAGAAGTCACAGCAGCAGATGCAACAGGAGAAGCAGAAACCTTGCGAGGAGTGCGAGACACATCGTAAGAAGATCGACGAGATGGAGCGCAAGCTGCGGAATGCCAAGTCAGCATCCTCCACTGGCGAGCTCACAGACCTGGAACGGTTCGAGCTGCGCGACTTGCAGAAACTCGTAAACTGTTCGGTGTGCCAGGACCGACGCAAGGATGTGATCATCTCCAAGTGCTTCCACATGTTCTGCAAGGAATGCATCGAGAACAACCTCAAGTCACGCAATCGCAAGTGCCCAACATGCAAGAAAATGTTCGGCCACGACGACGTTAAGTCCGTGTGGTTTACGTAGCTAGCCCCAAGTAGCACAAGTGGATAAGCAGATAACTGTCGAGACAATCGAACTACCAGTACCGTTGTTCTTCTTGTGAACTTGCCGCAACTTCCGATATTTGATGCGCAACTTAACTTTCAGTTTTTGATTGGCAATGGGACGTACCAAGCGTGACACCTCGTCGCGGAAGAGTCGACTGTCAGAGCCTCCAGGTAGCAGCTCAAAGCGCCAACGCCATAGCACGCATGAGACGCCCAACCAGCTGTACGCGCCCGAAGACGCCGTGCTGGTGTTGGGAGACGGCGACTTTTCCTTCTCGCGCGGACTGGTCAAGCACCGCGGCACTGGCAAAGGTGTGTTCACGACTTCGTTTGACTCAGAGAGCCAAGTCCGCAGCAAATATCCCAATGCTCAAGAGTGCATCGCGGCGGTACGGTCGGCGCATGGGCTTGTGTTGCATGATGTGGACGCCACCAAGCTGCTTGAGTTGCCGCAACAGGTGAAGACTGGCACGGGGTTGAAGACCATCCCCGACTTCTTTCAGTACATTGTCTTCAACTTCCCCCACAGTGGACAGCAGCGCGTGCATATCAACCGAGCGTTGTTACTTAACTTCTTTGAGAGTGCACGGAACCGACTTACGGTTCATGGAGAAGTCCACGTCACGCTCAAGACACGACCCCCGTACTCCAACTGGTTCATAGAGGACCAAGCCAAGGCCGCCGGCTTCGTCATGAAGGAGCGGCGACAGTTTAATATCAAGTTGTTTCCGGGCTATCGGCATCGTACGACGGACCCACAGGCCAAGAAGTTCGAGCCTCATCTCTGCGTTACGTACGTTTTTGTGGTTAACCGGTCTAAGGTACGATGCAATAGTATTTTACATGTAGTGTTTAGCGGTGATATTCGACTCACTTGTTATGGTTGCGCTTCGTTTTCGTAGTACCCCTCTCAGAAGAGCCGAGCTGCGTTGAATGCGGCTAGTGTCGAGGTTGCAGCTTCTGAAGCCAGCGAGCAGCACGATCTGGCTGCTGCTATTGTCAAAATTGCCAAGGCCAATGCTGTTGCTAGCAAGAACGTGAAGAGTAAAGCGCAGACTGCTGTTGCACAGAGGCAACATCCACCCAAGAAGTCAGCTCCGATTTCAGTATTTCCCGGCGTGGAACAACACGTACAACAGCCCAATGTAATTCGTGGCAAGCTCTGGAAACCCTTGCACCGTCGAGTTGGAGGAACTTTTTTCTAGAGTGTTGCATGCGGTTTCGGCAACTAAAGGCTACATAATACTTCAGTACGCTTTAACTCTTTTGTTTAGTCTCGGCTTAAGTTATTTACGTTGCAGTGCAAGTAAGGTTAGTCACTTGCATCACTACATCGCCTGAAGCGCTTCAAAAAAACAAAAAATGAAGATAGGGTATCATGTACTGCGAGGACGCTAGAAGCAAGCAATAACTTCTTCAAGGACGAGGTCAACAGCTTGGTCGGTCGCAAAAAAAGGCTAATCCAGCAAAATGAACAACTTCCAGGACGAGTCTATATGCGAGAATTTATTTCCGTACCGCAAGATTAACAACTAAGTTTCGATCTGGCAGCGCTTAAAGGCGACTCCTGTATCTTCGACATCTTATGTATGCCATGATCCGATCTGTAGCCCCACCAGGACGCCCTTACATGTTTTTGCAACGAACTCACAGTTCACAGGGTGACTTCATTTTGCGATTGAATCCGTAACCACAACAATAGGCAAAAATGGGCGTTGGTGCAAGCTTTGGCGCTCATCGCAGCCACCCCAAGTTCTCCAAGCACTATTGCCGCATTATCAAGCGTTACATGCCACATTTTCCGATCACCGAACCGTCCGACAATGAGGATCGACTGGTAGCTTTCGAGCACTGGGAGCGAGTCTTCAAGGAAAATATCCACACTGATGCACACCACGCTGTCGGGTCCGGTACCAAGATCGGGTTACTGTACGAGAACTTCTACAAGTACCTCTTCGATAACTATCCGCACATGAAGCCCCTTTTCCAAGCATCGGTTCAGATTCAGAGCCGCGTGATCGTGCATATCAGCAGCGGCATGAAGTCGCTCTTGTCATCAGAGGATCTTGTCCAGAAGGTGATGAACTTGGCGCTCGTACATCTCAAGATCGGTGTGAAACCAGACGACTTTGACCCGCTCGGAGACTCTCTTATCCAAGCGATGCGACTTACTTGCGGGGATGACTGGGACGAGAAGGTCGAAATGGCATGGAAAAGAATCTACTGCCATGCGTCAATCCTCATCTTGGTTAACATACCTGATCTTGACCTCACCGGACCAGACGACGACTAGCATTCGTGGACAGCTTAGTACAAACAACACAGCGATCAATAGAGGTATTCCAGTTTTCTGTGTACAACAGAGTTACCATTACCGGTATTAGGCTGCGCACTGTGTGTTACTGGTCAGGGGTGGCTTGCCCCCTTCTTCTTGGACGCGAGCATCTGAATTTCAGCTCGAAATGCAGGTTTTGCGAGATCGGTACAGCGCTCTTCGTCGTTGTTTTTCGCATTCGGATTTGCTCCATTCTCCAGCAAGAAACGTGCGATGTCCTCATAGCCTTCACTGATTGCCAAGTGCAGCGGGGTGTTGCCTCCAACATCGCGAGTGTTGACTTTGGCACCATGGTCAAGGAGAAGGGCAATTACCACTGTAAAACCGAGAAGCAGAAAGAGCAATGTCTTGATTAGTAGGTCCCAAACATCAACTCTCGGTAACTACTATACTTATAACGAACCTGGACTAGGTTTGCCACCAATAGCACGCATCAGCGGGGTACTCCCGGTATTATCCTGCACCATCAATATAGAGCACATCATAAAACTGTCAGTACGCTCATAATGCTCTATGTGTGCTTTACGTTACTATACGCTCATCGTACCGCTTGGTTGACATCCCGCGTGTAGTCCAGCAGCAATTCGGCGACCTCTTGTCGTCCTGTTCTCCGACAACATGGTAAATTACCTGTCAGTATCGATACATCCCACCTGACGTCTAAGGATTGCTCTGCACATTACGTGCCTCGGTGGTAGTGCAATGGGATCTGTCCATTCTCATTGGGAAGGTTCGCATTGGCACCTCTGCATTGATCGACAAATAAATTGATGGACAAATAAATTGATGGATGCCTTAACCAGAGTCAAAGAATGCAGTGGCGTATGCTTTGAACTCGTCCTTACTTGCTTAGCAGAAGACCGACAATGTCTCCGTGGCCTGCAGAGGCAGCGCTCATGAGCGGTGTCCACCCGGCGTCGTCCTGTACATTCACGGTGGCCTTAGCGCATACCAGGAGGAACTCTGCCACGTCTAGACGCCCCGTAGCACAAGCCCAGTGCAACGGTGTGCGCTCGTCTTCGTCCTTTGCATCTAGATTGACGCCATTGTCAAGCAGTTTCTGCAGCTTGCTCACGTCGCCAACCTTCACTGCCGCATGTGTCTCCAATTCCATCGCTCGCAAAGATCGAAAAGTGAAATCGTTCAAGCTGTATTGCAAATTTTGCAATACCAGTCAATATTGAGGCTAGATTTTTTGTGGTCCACACTTACCTCATTTAACGATTTATTTGAGTACTGTCAATAGAGTGTACTCGCGTCCCTACTCCAGTCAAATACTACTGGAAGCGCCGTCCATTGCAACGTTTGTAGAAGATGAGTAGCTTCGCGGACTCGGCGCAAGCTTCTGCCGGCGCGGCCGGCAGCTACTCGACCCGATCGGGCCTCTCCAAGAGCTGGCGCACTGTCAAAACGCACGCGGGTGTGTACACTGGTGGTAAGGTGGAGCTGTTCAATAGTCGCACAAGCATCGACGCAGAGCCTCGCGCACTAATGGCCTGCATGCTGCACGACGACGTGGCCATCATCGATGCGGAGACCGGAGAGCTGCAGCGTACCCTGCAGCAGGACGTCGAGGATGAAGAGGCCAAGGAATCCTTTGTGGTATTCGCTGTACGCCCAGGCAAGAAGAATCAGCTTGTGACGGCAGGCCGTAATCTGCTACTTCGCGTGTGGGACCTGGACACGTTCAAGTGCGTACGCACCATCAAAGCTCACGATACACCCGTCCTGGCAATGGGCTTCGATCCGTCAGGCACGCTGCTGGCCACGGGTGGTAGTGACCGCACAGTCAAGGTTTTTGACGTAGACAAGGGCTTCTGCACGCACAACTTCCGCGGTCACGCGGGTATCGTGACGCTGGTGCAGTTCCACCCAGATGCAGCACGATTGTCACTCGTGTCGGCCAGTGACGACGCCACAGTGCGCGTCTGGGACTTGTACACCCAGAAGCAGGTTGCGTGCATCCAGGACCACATGAGTCTCGTGACTAGCGTGGCCTTCTCCGAAGATGGCTACACAATGTTGTCTGCTGGACGTGACAAGGTGGTCAATTTCTGGGACTTGAGGGATCAGAAGCTGAGCAAGACGGTGCTAGTGCACGAGTCTGTTGAAGGTCTCGTGGTGGTGCCGCCGACTTTCAAGTGCGTCACAAGTAACAAGACTCAGGATGACAAGGCGATTTACTTCTTGACCGCCGGAGAGAAAGGCGCTCTGCGTCTGTGGCGAAGCAGTGGCAATTCTTGTGAGACTCTGTTCACACAGAAATCGGATGCGTCGTCGGCGCTTACTTACATGGAGCTACTGCTGAGTACTGCACGCCGCGAGGTTGTGGTCGTGTCTTCCGAGCAGAATTTCCTTGTGTTCGACGAAAACTTGACTCGTCGCACGCAGATTATCGGCTACAACGACGATATCCTCAACCTCAAGTATATCCCCAAGGCTGACGCGAGTGGTGCACCGTCTGATGTGCTGGCTGTGGCCACCAACAGTGAACAGATCCGTCTTTTGAACCGCAGCACGTTATCCTGCGAGCTTCTTTCAGGTCACACAGACATCGTTATGGCATTGGCGGTGTCTCCTGATGGACGATGGCTAGTGAGTGCTTCGAAGGATCGTACTGCTCGACTTTGGGACTTACGACCCACTGGTGGCAAGAAGATGGGCAAGACTTTGCCACGCTGTGTGGCTACTTGTGCGGGTCACACGGAGGCTCTTGGCGCTATTGTCATATCACAGCGTGCTTCCAGCTTCGCTACAGGTGCTGCTTTCTTTGTTACTGGTAGCTCGGACAAGACGCTCAAGATGTGGAGTCTCCAGCCGCTTGCCGGATCGTACGCTGCGCCTGCCAAGCCTGCACCGACAGAGCTGACGATTTCTACGCTTGGCGCTGTCAAGGCTCACGACAAGGACGTGAACGCACTCGCTGTGTCGCCGAACGACCGCTTCATCGCCAGTGCATCTCAGGATAAACTCATCAAGGTGTGGCACTCGCAACAGGCTGGAGCTGGTCGTATTTTGACGTTGGCTGGTGTGTGCCGTGGCCACAAGCGTGGTGTCTGGGCCGTCGAGTTTTCCCCGGTCGATCAGTGTCTTGCCTCTGCCAGTGGTGACAAGACCGTGAAGGTGTGGTCGGCCAAGGACTTTTCGTGCTTGAAGACGTTCGAGGGCCACACTGCCTCTGTGTTGAATGTGCAGTTTGCTTGTGCCGGAATGCAGCTTCTGTCTGCCGGTGCTGACGGACTTGTTAAGCTCTGGACCATCAAGAGCAACGAGTGCGAAGCTACGCTGGACAACCACGAGGATAAGATCTGGGCTCTTGCTGTGGCCAAAGACAGTTCCGAGATGGTAAGTGGTGGTGCGGACTCGACTATCAATCTCTGGCGTGACTTCACCGAAGAAGAGGAACGTGCGCAGCAAGACGACAGAGACGCCAAGCTGCTGAAGGAGCAGGAACTGTTCAACTGTCTCCGTAACAACAAGCTGCTGGATGCTGTGCAGCTCGCGTTCGAGCTCAACCACCCGAACCGCATGCTGCAGATTCTGCGCGACCTGCTTGAAGGACCACGACACAAGGACCAGCCTGTTCTCCCCGGCAATAAGCCTATTGATCCCGACAACTTCTCACCCGAGGACATTTTTGCGCCGGTGGTACAGAGTCTGGAAGACGAACAACTCACGACACTTATGGAGTGGCTGCGAGACTGGAACACAAACGCTCGTAACACGAGCGTCTGCCAAGTTCTGGTGAGCACAATTTTGCGTGAACTGCCTCCGAGCCGCCTGAAATCGTTGGAAGGTGCTGCCAAGACAGTGGAAGCCTTGATTGCTTACAGTGAGCGTCACTTCCAGCGCATTGATCGTATGCTGCAGAAATCTTACCTCGTGGACTTTAGTATCGTGACTATGAAGAGTTTGCTGCCGGTCGGTGAGAGTGACTCGGTTGTTGAAAAGACGGACAGTGACAGCGAAGCCGAGCAGGAAGAAGAAGTGAAGGCCAAGCAGCCACGGAAGCGTGGCAATGCTGCTTGGACTGGGAAGACCAAGAAGCAGCGAGTGTAAGTTTGATCCCTCATAGAGCCCTCGATTTTCATTTTTCAGGCTTGTCGCCAGAGTATTTGCCATTCTTCTTGTCGATATTATCCTCTTTGTCTTCTGACCTGCCGTAGATTTTCATAGTTGTGAGGAAAAGTTCCTCCAACCCGGCATCTCGACATGCTGTCGCCAAGTCTGACATGCCATTCTCGGGGAATTCGTGAAAACTGCGTGACAGTCTCCTCAATGAGTCAATATCTCCTGAGCAACCCTCTTGTAGCTCCTCCGTCTGCTCCCCACGCACTGTGATCTGCTTCCACCGTAAATGCTGCAGCCGCCGCACATATTCCTGAACGTTGGGCTCGGCTCCTTCGACGATCACAACACCTGGCCATCCAATCTTGCTGAAGCCTCCAAGTCGCAGTTCTGTCGCCCATTCCTTCACAACTCGCCGCTTGTTGGATGCGATAATGTGGTGAAAGTAGATAGCTCGCCGACCTAATGTCGGAGGCGTTGAGGTTTCTTCAGAAGGACCAACAGTGACTGCTTTACTTTGCTGTTCGTCGACTGTGGAGATAGCCTGCACTTGCGTTAGGAACTCGTGCATTTGCTGGTATAGCTGCAGCCCCACCACTTCTTGGCCAGCGCAAGCAGTAGCAGTCAGCTCTGCTAGCTCAGTGTTTAATCGTCCCATCTCCACTCGTGACAACTGAGGGCAGTTCACCTCGAACAGCATTGGTTCGGCATCGGGATAACGTCGAGGGCACATGAGGGTCAATGATGGCACTTCACGGCCATAAGCGAGATCCTGCAAAACACAAGGTACAACATCGATCAGTGGCATGGTTAACATTGGTACAAGCTTTAGCCAGCACCTTGTAGTAAAGCGTGTAGCGGATTTGGCGTTCAGGCCGTGGTGACTTGTCAGCTCCGCTGCCTCCACTGACGAAATCCTCGAGTGATACTTTAGTAGCTTCGTCGATCTTTAGCTCGCCGTCAAATGGAAACATGCTACGCATGCACTCGAGCTCCTCGAGCTGCTGCTGCGTAGCCGACAGCCCGCCATCTTCTAGCTCGACCGTCGTCATGAAAAGTGAAAGTAAAATATGGTTTGATTTGCAAGTTATGTATCAATCTCCAGTATTTTATCTACAACGCGTTGCCAAGAGGAACATTAGCCACCTGCTCGTTGAAAAGCATGGCAATCTGCTCGAACGTGAGCCCAGTAGTTTCTGGAACCTACAACAATAGCAACGAAAGTCTTTTTAGCTGCAACATCCAAAAAAAATTGGAGCTCTCAACAATGCTCGAACCTTGACGTAAACGAAGCAAAGCGAAGAAGCCGTGAGTGCTGTGTAAAGTAGGAAAGCGTTTCCAGTCCCAAAGGCATGAAAAACCGAGAGAAGCGTCTGGTTGATCAGCGCACTGCCCAGCCAGAACGTACCAAACGTAAGACCCATTCCAATCGAACGGAATTCGTCTGGCAAAAGCTCAGAACACACGACCCACATCAACGGCGCCCAGCTCAGGTTCCACGCAAAGATGAACACGTAGAGGTTCCATTCACCGATTGTCTGCACAGTTTCAGAGTGTGTCGAGCTGAGTGTCCAGAAGCAAACAGCGAAAATGAAGTGGCAGATCAGCATCAGGCTAGTCCCAATGATCAGCAGTGGACGACGGCCAACGCGGTCAACTACAGCAACAGCTGAACAAACGCCTGCAAGCTTAGCAAGGCCCACCCAAATCTCCTTACTGAGGGGGGAGACTTGGTGCGCATTCCCAACTTGCAGCCCATCTAAAATGTAGCTAGAATAATAAAGCATCCCGTTCGCTGCCGTCAAGATGTGGCAGAACGCAATAGTTACACAGAACAGCACACGTCTACGGACATTAAGTGATATCTATGAGAATGAAGCAATGTATCACCAACCACATATTCATGTACGTACTTTCGAGTGAGGTCGTCAGTCACGAGCTCACTCATGGCGTGGAAAAAACTTTCATGAAATGTCTGGACAAGCATCCAAAGAAAGCCTCAATAAGTCATCTTAATTGTACGACACATCCTGTAAAAAAAAAACGTACCCCAACATCGAGGTGTGCTTTTATAATCTCTTGTGATGCTTCTTCGCTGTAGAGTAGTCGCTTCAGAACAGTACTCGCCTCCTTCGTCCGATATTTCTGCATTAAGAGGAGCATTTAAACGTCAACAAACTTCGCTGGAAGCAAGTTTTTCCACTCGAACTTACCGATATTAGCCACCGAGGGGATTCAGGCAGGAATGGCATTCCAATCTGGTCATAGCAAAGATCACGTGTTAGCTTGGGCAGCTCAACATCGATTCCAGTGATAAATAAGTGGGTACCAATTGCACAATTGGGGGGAAGAGTGTCATACCAAGCATCTTGCGCCAGTCATCCTGTCCAGATGCATTACATTGTCAGTGGAAATCAATATGGCATTAAACGAATCCAGTTTTATACCTTACTGCTTTGTAAGGAAGAGCTTACAACGACCGATACAAGGCAGCCAAAGCATACCATGACCTGAGTCATGTAACCGATAAATCGTTAGCCATTTTACACTATATCGGTTGATGCCTACAGCACGCACCTCGCTGATCGTGACCAATGCACCGCGAGTCTTTGGCTGGGCGATTTCAGCCACGTATGTCGAGACGCAAGGCCCACTACTTCCAACGGCCAGACCCGCAATGAATCGTCCAACCAGCATAGTCTTCAACGACCCGGCAAATGTCATGAACAGCGATCCAGACAAGAAAAGTACGGCAGTGATCAGGTTCGCCGGTTTGCGGCCAATCCTGCATCGATTGCAGTCACAAAACAGTCAGTGTAGTGCAGCAAGACATCCTCTTTTGATAGCTGTGATACATACCAATCAGCAACAACTCCACCAACTAGCGACCCGACCACAGCGCCGAGCATGAGCGTACTCACGATACTTTGGGCCACAGTGGCTGAGAGTGCGAAGTCCTAAATGATACAGTCAGAGACAGCAACTTCAATGCAAAACCAAGACTACGAGCTCATTTAACGCGCATCACCTGCTGGATGAGTGGCAGCGCCACAACCATGACGCACAGGTCATAGCCAAAAAGGAAACCCGATAAAGCGCTAAGCCCGCAGATCCAAGCTTGTACGCCACCAAAAGATCTCGGATGCTCTCTCGCCTTCAACTGTAGTGCATTGGGGCCCACCACAGTGTAGCCAGCCGACTGAGGTGCCGTGACACGGTGCACCATTGTCAACTGCTACGCGGAACGTGTTGCTCGCACGTTACCAAAGCCGTTATTACAACAGAGAGACCTCTACAAATCAATCAAATGTACCCATATCGGTTTATCTTGAATGTTTTTTCGTCGCAAATTCAAATTCAAAAAAGTTCGCGGCGAGTGTATCATTATGAGCGTGATAGCCCCACCTTCGTCCACTCCGGCATCTGGGAGCTTACCGGAGCTCACACGCAGACTGCAAGACGAGCGCGATGCTTTACGCGTAGAGGTGGATCAACTGACGCGTCGACTAGCGCAGGAACGCACTGCTCGATCTACACTGGAGAACGAGGCGCAATTGCGAGAGCTGGAGTTGCGCCACATGCAGCAACACAGCACCCAGGCAGCGCAGCAGGCTCGGGACAAGCAAATAGCGTTGGAAAAGGAGCTGGAGGACGAGGTGGCCATGCACAAGATGGCGGTGCTGGGCAGGAACACCGCCACGCAGAAAAACACGACTCTGGCGGCCGAGCTCAAGGCTATGGAAGGCAAGTGGAAGAAAGAGCTGGAGAAGAAGGAAATCGCGATGGCGGAGGCTGAGTTAGCTGCTGACGAGATTCAGAAACTCAAAGCAGATAGAAATCAGCTCGTGCAACGCACTGAGAGCGACGCGAAACGGGTCCGAGAACTGTGGCAGCAGATCGCACGAGAACATGAAGTCAAGGTAAATGCTCTCATCCAGGAACTACAGAATGCCCGACAAATGTTGAAGGATATAGAGGTTACAGTGACTGAGTGTCGCCGGAAGATTGGAAACATGGAGGAAACGCTGCAGAAGACGAGGGAAGAGAAGGCGGCGCTACAGGAACAACTCGCCGCTGCGATGAGTGAAAGATCGCGTTCTTTAGAGCAGCAGGAGTTAGACCGCCTCAAGGAGAAGAGCTGGGGCAATGAACAGCATCGTGCAGCACTAGAATTGCAGCAAGCAACAAATGAGTGCAAACTACACGCACGACGAGAAGCAGCAGCAGTAAAAGAACGGGACGCAGCGGTGCAAGCAGCACGTACAGTCCAGGGAGAGCTGGAAGAGAGAACCGAGGAATTGTTGGCTCTCAAGACCGAGTTCGCCAATCTTTTGGATAAACACGAGCTGCTGGCCACGCAGTCCAAGCAATCAGCTCGTGAACGAGAAGCAAAGCTCATTCTACGCACCCAGAAACTTCATGACGGTAAGCGCTATGCCGAGGAACTGGCACGGTTACGACAAGAAGAAGTATCTGGGTATAAGCAAGTTATTTATGCGGTGAACGCACGACTCACGGAGGTACAGGAGCTCAGCGAAGCCACTCAGACCAATGCCTGGTCGTTGCCACAAGATGCTAGCAAGGCAAAAACGTCACTATGCATCTACCGCCATTAAAACATCTCGGACTTTATTGTAGTTATTGCAAAAAAGAAAACGGCATTGTTGTAGTTACACAGATCATCTACACGATTCCTTGCTCCAGGAACGGTTCATTGGCACGCACGCGGTCAAAGCTGAAGCGTGAGCAGTCAATAGTCTTGAATTCGTCGTGGACAACCAGCTCGGAAATTGCACGACCGGCGGCAGGTGACTGTTGCAGACCATGGCCGCTGAATCCGTTGACAAGGTACATGTTAGGGACGTCCGGGTGCAGACCGATGATAGCGTTCTGGTCGAGGGTGTTGTAGTCGTAGTATCCAGCCCATGCGCTCAGGACCTTGATGCACTCGAAGCTTTTAACACGGTGGGCGATAGTGGGCCAGATCTGCTCCTCAAAATGGTCGTGATCCGGGAAGTCTAGCTCGTCCGTGGACTGTCCGTCGTAGTCATCCTCGGGCTCAGGAGACCAACCACACACAAATCGACCGCCAGCACCTTCACGTCGGAAGTAAACGCCATTGGGGTCCACCACAAGTGGCGTCGCTGCTTCTCCCTTCCAGATCTCCTCGGCATCGCAGTGGAAAGCAAACATGGAGCGTTTGCGAGGCTTGACCGGATAGTCGAAGCTGCCGCAAGCCTCCAGTAGCTTGCTAGACCAGCAACCTGCTGCGTTCACGACGACACCAGCACGAACCGAGTTGAAGCGCATGTCGCCGCATTCCGGTGAGCTCTTGACCTCAATGTGCACCTTCTCAATCTGGTTCTGTCCTCCCAGATCGAAGTGCTTAACCTCCCCTTCCAGAACGTCTACACCCAAAGATACACTCTTGCGTTTCATGGCGTTGAGGAACGCCCAGGGATCGAACCAGCCCTGGTCTTTCATGCCCAATATGGCTTGCTCGACGCCGTCCGGATTAATCCACGGAAAGCGCTTCTTCAGTGCCACGGGGTCCAGCAACTGCACGTCGGCTCCTGCAGCCTTTTGCGTGGCATAATTCTGGTGAAGCACATCTAGACCACGCTCACTGGCCAAGAACATGTAGCCACCTTCGACGAATTGCACGTCGGGAGCGTCATGGCCGTCCACCTTCATGTTGGTGCCGAGATTGCGCAGGAATTCAGTACCGTACAAACTCATCTGGATGTTCTCCGTCTCTGAAAATTGATGACGGATGCCGCCGGCCGATAGTATGGCCGACGCATACTTGTACTGCGTTACATCGGAACGATACAAGATGTACAATTAGTCGTGAACACTAAAATACTACTACGAAGCAGTGACGTACGCATGGGTCCTTCTCTACGACGGCGATCTTGAGGTTGGGAACGGCGGTAACGAGGTGGTAGGCGGTGGAGAAACCCATGACGCCACCACCTGCGACTACCACATCATAGTACGGCGTCTCATCGGTCGACACGGAACTTGCAAAGCGAAGACCACGCTTGGCGAGAGCGCGAGTCAGTCCAGCAGTCTGCAGTCTATAGAGCGCACACACAGCGTCAGAGAGCAGCTACGCAAAGGAGAAGAGGAAGAAGGGAGTCGTCACGCACGTCTTGGTTGCCAACATCGTGGAGAATTGAGGAATGAGCCCAGGCGGAGGACGCGCGGCGGCAGGGAAGTCATGTCATGGGCACTTGCACTTGGCAGTTGGGATGCGACTGCTCAAGGTGCGCGTCACCAGTGTGAGACGGACAAAGAAAAGGCTATGTCGGCACTTCAATTTGCTAATATCTTGACTTTTGTAAAGGTCTAATTGATGCACATCTCCTTCAGTTCAAAGTCCAAACTCTAGATTGGACGACGCTAAGCACGGCACCGTACGGAAAGCAACGAGCATTGCTGCAGGACACTGGGATTGCGCACGAGAAGCGTTTGACCAGCAGCTTGAACATAAATTTCTGCTTCGGTTGCTACCGCTGGTGAGGTGGGAATCGAGGTTGCAAGGCTGCCTTCGGGTACAGCCGGGTAGGAAAAAAAAATAGATATGGGAAACATGACAACGTCATGATGACATTCATTGTGGTTTTGGAGGACTTCATTACATTCATTGGTGTATCGAGGAAGAATTATGTGGCTACTCCATCACAAAGCGCGACACTTGATCCTGGCGAATGACCTCCTGGAGCGCGTCTACCTTGTCATACATACCGAACTGACCGCCTGTGTGCACGAATAGGATATTCGTCCCCACAAATTTCTACAACAGAATTGATGATCAGCACCGACAGCGATATTGTAGCTTTCCTATAATCTTGTCTTACCTCTGGCGCCTCGTTCAGCTCGCGTATGAGGTGGAAGAGCGCCTTGCCGGAGTATACGGGGTCCATCAGCACACCGGTCTTGCGGCTCACACTGTAGATGAACTCGAGCTCCTTCTTCGTGCTGCGAGCGTACCCCGTGCCCTGCGCGTTGGTGATCTGTAGGAACTGCCTTGACGACATGTCGGACGGTGCTCCCATGGCGGGTAGGATCTGGCCGTCAATGTGGCCGTGGAAATACTCGTCGTTGTCGCAAACAATATACGCGTGCACTGAATTGGTAAAACAAAATCACACCTCATATTTGAGCGAGTACACCCGACACGAGTGAGGTCTCTAATACTTACCAGGAATCTTGGCAGCAAAGTTGAGAGGTGCACTTGGATGGGCCTTGGCGTACAGATACGACCCAAGGCCAATACCAGCTGCAGTGCCTCCACTTCCGCAAGCAAACGCGATATCCGTGATCGTGGCATCAAACTCCTATTCACAAGCATGGATACAGTCAGATGCCAGTAGCGACTCTACATATTTTAAGCTGAAATAATTTCAACAACGAACCTTAAGTTGGTTGTTGATTTCGTCGATGGCTTGAATGTATCCCCACGTGCCGAGACCATTGCTCCCACCGACCGGAATCGCATACGGATGACGTCCTTCTTTCCTTAGTCGCTCACAGGTGCGCTGTCAAGTGAGACATACCCTGTTTGTGAGCACTACAGTATTCAACAGCATTAAAACGAATCTCAGCCGCCCGACCTTGATCATAGCTTCACTGCCGTATTTGCCGTACTCCTGACGAGACATTTGGATGAGGTTGGCGTCCAACATACTACATATTATAACAACTACGTGTTAGCCTCTATCCAGATCAGAGGCGCAGTCTCAGCGTCATAGTTACCGGTCGAAAAGAACGTTTCCAACCAGTCCCGGGTCCTCGTCGGGTTTGTTAGTGCGAAGCAGAAGATACGAATCCAGCCCCAGTATCCTGGCGACGGCAGCGGTGGCTCTGCAGTGGTTACTCTGGATGCCGCCGCACGTGACGAAGCAGTCGGCCTTTTGGTCCAGCGCCTCTGCCAGTAGGAACTCGAGCTTGCGGATCTTGTTGCCCGAAGTTTCCATTCCGCTGAAGTCGTCGCGCTTGATGAACATGCGCACGCCATCGGGCAAGCCCGGCGGTGAAAAAGGGAGAATTGGCGTGGGGAAGTGGCCGAGACGGAGCTTCTGCGCTGGGGGGCGACGCAGCGCAGACGCCCATGCGGGCGGCACGAACGGGACCGACTTCAGCATTGTCGGGCGAGTGCTAGGCTTAGAAGGGAATCAAACGATTTAAGCATATCCAGATTTAGCCAATCATCGTGCACGATGGAACAGCTTCAAGGAGAACTGGAGTCGCCAGGACCCTACTACTTTAGCTGCGGGTTGGCATTTTATTGCGCTCGCATTGTGAGCCTCATGGACAGCAGGAGAGGTTAAAAAAATGTCACGTTTAGACGTAGCAAGTCCCGACGCAGCTGGTCGATGCTGACCATGTACACCGCGATGGCTATCCTACACTGTCACTGAGTATTCGCCACAACCTTGCAACCTTGGCGCCTACTGTAGTTTGGTCCTTACGACGGAGATAGAGCTTACGCAGTCACTTATAGCTGTGTATCGCAAGTCAGAACGAAGCGCGATATGCTTCGTTCAGGCATGGTGGTGGCAATGCGGCCGGTCTTGACATTGCGTCACTTCAACATCTTCACATTTTGTCGCTTACTTTAATCAAGACAAAACATCAGTTCAATTTAACTTGATTAAAGTAAGTCTTTCATCAAATCGCACATCTCTGCCTCCACTTGTCATCTGTACATTACGTGGAGCTCTCTCGGCATGGCGGGCTCGTGGCTGCTCTCGTTGGCGGTAGCGCTATGCTCCCTCTCTGGGAGCACCGTCGCCACCATGTACAACCCCTCCTCGCGCTTCGTCGGCTTTGCCAGCGACCGCTACGTCCGCCAAAGTCGCGCCGATCCGGAGCAAGTGGTGCCATTAGTCATTGGACTCCACCCAGACGACTTTGACGGAATGGAGCAAGAATTTTACCGCATCTCCGACCCAACGTACGTATTAACACTGTCACAGTCAAGTGTGATGCTGTTCAAACCTACTAGAGAGTACTGACGTCCGATTCGTGTTACTATTGGGTTGTGGGCCGTAGACATCCTGCGTACGGCCAATATCTTGCTCAGGAGCAAGCAGATACACTCTCTCGACCGACTGATGGTGCACTTGACGCGGTGCGTCAGTGGGTGGGAGAATTTGCACACGAAAACAGCGCAGGTACTTTTTCGACGACGTCGAATTTGTACAAAATTCCAATGAAGGTGAAGCACGTTGAGCGACTGCTGAACACGCAGATTCACCACTACGAAACACAGGAGACGGACAGTATTCCCGCGCGGAATCGGCGAAGACTGATGCGAGCAGCTACTGATGTATCAGTGCCAGAGCATCTGCAGGACATTGTATCATTTTTGAGCGTGAATACGCACCCCTTGGGACTGCGAGCGCTGGGAGCTGCAACGTCAGAGACAGCAGAATTGGCGAGCAGTGGAGGGGGTACATTGGCACAGGTTCGACAGATATACGGTATCCCAGACAACCTCGTAGTGACCAACCCAAGCAACGCACAATGCGTACCTTCGTTCTACGATGAATCGTATGATCCCGCGGACTTGAAGACTTTCTTCTCTCAGTACCTGCCAGGGGAGAGTCCGCCACCAGTCATTGAAAAGGGAAGCCGAGTCAATCACCCGGAACGGGCTACCACGGAGGCATCGCTGGACGTGCAGTACATCACAGGCGTTGGTCGTAACGCTACCACTTTTGTCTGGACCATGAACGGCAGCAATCCGTACTCGGCAGAGGATGAACCGTTTGTCGAGTTTGCGCAGGACGTGCTAGCACTGGAGAATCCCCCTCTCGTCGTCTCGATCAGCTACTCGGATGATGAAGAGCATATTTTCGATGTCTCGCCAGGATATGCACGTACCCTGGACACGCTTCTCATTAAGATGGGCTTGCGTGGTATCACAGTTCTTATTGCCGGTGGTGATGATGGTGTAACTGGACTGCGTCCTGAGTTCGAGAATGTGCCACTCGAGGAAATGTGCAAGAAAAGTGGCCCACAGTGGCCGTCTTCAAGTCCGTACATCACCAGCGTTGGTGCCACGATGCTCCTACCAAAAGCGCAGCAAGCAGCGAAACCATTCTTCCGTACGAAGGAAGAGGTGATCTGCAGTGTCGAGAATGGCGGGATTATTACCTCAGGTGGTGGATTCTCCAACATCTACGCAATACCAGCGTACCAGCGCACAGCGGTTGAGAGATACTTGGGAACACGGAATATTCCTAGTACCCCGGGCTTTTTCAACGCTAGTGGTCGTGCCTATCCTGATGTAGCCGCGATAGGCGCAGGTTTCCTTGTCTACATGAATGGCCGTCTCTCGTCAGTATCAGGGACGTCAGCATCCACACCAGTATTGGGCGCAATGGTGACGTTATGGAACGACATGCGCTTGAATGCTGGCAAGAGTCCACTGGGCTTCATCAATCCCCTTCTTTATTATCTCGCGGAGACAAACCCCAATGCATTCAACGATGTGGTTGTTGGCAATAATGGAGCTCCGCGTGGTGGTAACACACCTTGTGAAGACTCCTTTAGTGCTGCTGCTGGCTGGGATGCAGTCTCAGGAGTTGGTACACCCAATTTTCCAGTGATCTCCGAGTTCATTACAAACCTCGAGGACCACTTTAATGTGTCTGAACTGGGTCAAACGAATAACTCTGCGATTCCAGACGTGAGCAACAATGCGGCAGACATTACGAGCGGCATCGGTGAAATGAGTACGTTCACTATGGTGCTTCTGATTGCGGCAGTCGTGGCAAATGTTGCAATTGGTATCGTTGTGGTGGTCACATTGGTGAAACGTTGGAGGAACCAGTACACACCTCTCGACGAGGTTGCTAGTGGCAATACCACCCCTGTCTCGACAACAACCCCCACGGCTCGCGTCCAGCGATTGAATTCGGATCCTGATAGTAGTAGTGAAGATGGTGTGGAGCTGAGTGAGATCAACTTGAATTAATCACTAGCACGCTGTGGCAGAGCGAAAAAAAAGATTTTGGAGTATGTTGGCGTGTCTGTTCTACTCACAGCCTAAGCTGGAAAGTGCTTACATCGCATCGTCCAGAGTCAGCAGCAAGGAGCAGCTCAATACCTTCATCTTGAGAAGCGATCGTTACACTAGCAGGCTGAACGAATCGGGTATCCGTTTCCCCTGTGGTTCCAAATGCTGAAAGAAATACACCAGTGTTCGTAAAGATGGCAACACAGCGGTTGTCAGTGTCACTTACGAGTATGTATCCACTTCGTTGTTGCACCCAGACTCCAATCGGTGAAAGTGGCAGATCAAATGGTGTGGCTTTTGAATCAAGAATTAACTGCACGCAACCATTTAGGTCAAGAATTTGCACCCGACAATTGCCAGTGTCAGCAACCACGATTTTGTCAGATCGTTGAGGACCAAAGTTGCATTGTGGAGTCAAGGGAAGTGCTGGGCAAAGTGCAAGACCAGTTGGAAAATTGAATTCACCCGGTGCCATGCCCATACAACCAAAATTACGCACAAATTTACGGGTAATCAGATCGAAGATTTGAACGCGGTGGTTGCATTGATCGCAGACGAAAAGAAGTCGGTCTTTCCAAACTGCAACTCCTTGTGGCGAATTGAGGAACCCTTCCAAATGACCAAATCCTTCTCCAACACGGCCACAGAATGAACCATTTCGGGCGTTAAAAAGCGATACGGTATGGTTGCCGCTATCGCTCACTACTAACATAGAATGGTATGAAGGATATTCCTCGTTTGTTTCACCATTCTTCACGCTATAGAACGCCAGAAATGATGGATGATTCAACTCTCCAGGAAGAAACCCGTTTGAACAGAGCTCCTGATCGCCATACGTGGTCGCGCCGATGAAGAACTTTAGACTCAGGTTGCTAGCGTCGAGCACAGCCACCCGGTGTGCTATCGGGTCACTCACGTACAGCCATCGTTCTTTCAATGAGTCTTTCGTTTGTCCTTTTGGATTGCTAAACGTGAAGCTGAACTGGAAACAGCTGTGCACGCTGCAAACACCTCGGAGTTGGTTCTTCGGGAGCTGGAGCCAAGTGCATCCGGCTGCGTCGAAGTTATACGTGTAGACACTCGCATTTTCTCGGTCAATCACTACGATTTCTCTTTCAGATGGAGCATATTCAAGTGCGAATGGATGATGGAAGCGTGAACGCTTTTCACGCCACTCCATTAGGCAAGACGTCAGATGAACGTAACATTGGCATGTCGGATGCAGTAGAGTCGCAAGACTGTAAATACCATCCATACCTTTACCAGATAAATCAGGCGGAGGTTTATGTAGTGCAGCATATTCTCTCTCAACCTCTGCACGCAGGTTTGCAAATTGATCGTGTTGGAATACAATCTGCTCGAGACTGCCAAGTAACGACAACTGCCTCAGAAACTCTCCTCGTTCGTTGAGAATTTGTACGCGATAGTTGCCACAATCTGCCACAATTGCGTCAAATTGTTCGTTTGAGACTCCTCCATCACTTTCAGGTTCAACACCTCGGGTGATAACGCGCTGTACTCCAACCACACCGAAAAATGAAAAAACTTTAACCCTTCTCAATTATCCTACCATTCTAGCGCACCTTTCGAACGTTGACCAACTTGACATCGCGCAGATCGTAAAACTCCCCACCACTCATTCCCTTTCGACCTATAGTCTGCACGAATGCCCCTCGCTTTGCAAACACAGCCAAACGCGAGTTGCCAGTATCGCACACAACAACATGATAATGCGAGAGATCAAACCCTGTTGGTCGTTTCAACACCATGTCACGAGAACCAGAAATGCTTCGCTCAAGAGTGACACCTTTGGTCACAGCATTCGCCGGTAGTTTGTACACCCTGATACAGTTGCTTGCTTCATCACTAGCATAAAACTCCCCTGCTACGTCATCCACCGCAAGGCCACGAGGTAGCGCAAGGTGTGGTTTCCCGTCAATAAAAGCCATTCGAGCGGATGATGCCTCAAAGTTGCAGAAATGACCGCCAGTCACTTGATTGGCAAGAACACACGTCCTGTATAATTGGAAAAGAACGCGAAGATCAATGACGGCGACGCGAGCGCATTCCTGCTCACACACTGGCGATATTAGACTTTAATTCTAGCCAATATTGTCAAAACATTGCAAATGCTGCTCACTTACCTAGTAAACGCCCACAGCGCGTCGCCGCCATTGCCATAGGCGTTCTCAGAGAAGGGTTACCATCTTTCAGGTCACTCCATGACGAAGTAAATAACAGTTCTCTGGTTTTTCGATCGAATCCGTGAATCATTGCGGTGTTATCACCAACGAGGATAACATCACCTTCCAGTCCTAGGATAGGTTTCTCCAACGCTCGAGATGTTATCACCGCAGTACACATCGGTAGAGTTCCCTTTTCTTCACTTCCTGGTACATGAAGTGTTGACGTCCAGAAAGCCCCGACAAGTTTTAACTGCTTCCCAATGCCAGCGATCACCTGGCGTTCCTCATGCTCAAGGTTGGCAATTCGCTCTTCCTCCTCCGATTTTTTCTTTCGGATCTCCTCAAGCTCCTGGAGACGTCGCTGCTCCTTCGCTATTCGTTCTGCAAACCAAAAGAAACAGCGAAATAGTCGTAAATCAAACTCATTCACTGCAATATTCACCCTCGATCTGCTTACTGTCTTCAAGGCGCTTGCGTTCGGCCTCCTGTTGTCTGCGGAGCTCTTCCTGGCGCTGTCGAGCCGCCTCTTCCAATCGCTGGTTCTCGAGTTTCTACACACGGATGGCACAATAACATCATATACGATGCCGCCAGAGGTAAATTCCAAGCTCGGGGACCTCACACGCAGACGCCGGCGTTCAGCGAGCTGGTTGGCATTTGTCGTCATCGCAACACCACGCAAAGCGACGCTTCAAGGGATCTATCTGTCCAAGTTTGAAAACGGATCTCAAGGATCAATACATGTATAAATAAAAAGCGTGCTGATGTTCTCCATGTTGACTCAGCTGTTTCAACTTCTTGAATGCTACGTTAATCGAAAAAGGCTGCATATTATTATAAAAAAATTGCCCCGACGTATTCGTTCTACATGAGGCTAGTGTTTGTCTAAAAAATCTTTACGTCCCTAGTGGACAATCCTAACATTGGCCGTGCCGTAGTATACGGATGTGTTTCATGCACAACCGGCTCGGTGATGCCAGATTAAATAGGCGATCCGCGCAGTTCAGCTAACTGCGCGCGGGACAGCCGCAGGTCGAGGTTATTATCCCAGCCGCACATTTGCTCGAACGAGTCGTGCGTGAGTTCCACCTGCTGCAGCACCTCCTCAGCGTTCGGGTGCTCGACAAACTTGAGCGTTTTAGCGAACGTGCGACATACGTTCTGGACGGCTGCGAAACATGCGTCCCGTTCTGCCATCGAGTCGCCGATCGAGAGGAAGTTAAAGTAGGCATCCTGTGGGCCAACGGGTTCCCTGTATGTTCGTGAGCTCGTGTCCTGCGCTGCGGCTGCAAAGCACTTGCGCGCAATAAGCTGCATGACCTCCTGCTTCCAGGTCGCCGAGTCGCCGCCGAGACCAAAGTTCTGTTCGTACCAGCTGCGCGCGGACACGATGTGTACGTCGGAAAGCGCCAGCACGCTCTGTACGGCCGGCATGTACAGCGCGGCGGACATTTCGACCCAGCCGTACTCGGCTGCAGTCACGACGAACACAGGACCGTACGCTACCGCCTTCTGTAATAGACGCGCGACGTGCGCGCCGATGAGCGTGAGTACCTCGCGCTGTTCAGGTGTGACGGAGATCTGGTGTCCGCGGTACTTCGGTAGCAGATCCTGCGCGTGCAGCCAGGAGCTGGGACACAGCGTGTCGTCCCAGTCAAAGACGACTACGGTGCGGTCTTTGATGGAGCTGGGGCCGGCGCTTCCAGGGCGCCTCTTGGGGGCCGTGGCTGTTGGGGGAGATACGGGAGACACGGGCCCCATGCATGGCCGCAGAGTCTCAACGGAGGATGCGAACGCCATATCGGTCTACTGCAAGCTCTGGTGCAAGTGCGCGTGCCACGGCGTGTTGGAGTGTGGCAAGGCGGCGGTCGTTTCCAGCGGATTCTTCGTTTGGCCATAGAGAAGCGAAAGGGATAACCAGAGACATTTTCAGGGCCTCACAACCATACACAGCGTAAGTAACTGGGACAGAGAACGGCCATCGAGGAGGTTGGGCGTTGAAGCGACGCCAAGCTCCTGAACTGAAGGAAAGTATCACCAGATGCATGGCAACACTCGTGATGGCTCTGGACAACATGGCTTCGCTGGACTTTAGTCTCTGTATTAGCGCAGCAACAAGCGATATGGCAAGGCAAGCAGAGCATGCTCTTCGACTTCGGCAGAGCGCGCTCGTGGTGTTGCGGCTGAGATGGCTGCGCAAAGCCCGCCGCCAGAGACGGGCCTCGGAGTGAGGCGCAATTGCAGTCTTTTGCCAGACGAATTTCTTACCCAGACGTCAGCCACCAGCAGTGACGGCAATTCTGCACTGTGCAACGCATTGTCGAAGGCCATCACGCCCTCGACCTTGAAAGATGTAGCGTTGTCAAGATAATAATGTGGGTGCTTCAGCAAACTGAAAACGCCCCGACGCCTCTGGCCACGCGTTGGCGATAACTTTAAAAACGCCACCTGCACTCTGTCATGGCTGCGCAATTAGTGTGGTGACAGGCTGCTAAACATTTGTCCGCATGGATCACGTTTGGCCGCCCCTCGCACCGAACTGACGGTGCGACGCACGTGTTTCTTGTCGGTGATTGCTGCCAGAGCGCTCCAGAAACCAGAGCCTCACAGCGGATATCTCGGCTGCGCCGAAAGAGAGCTCCGGGCCCACCTGGCGTGGAGAAACCTTCGCTATCATTTATTCGATAGCGAGTAACGCAATTGCAGTCCTTGAAGACGTGTTGTTCGGACGGTAACTTCAGCAGGGTCGGCGCCAAAAAGGCAACAAATTGTTGCTTTTTACGTGTACATACACAAAATATGCGACACGAGTGACGTCAGTGTTCAAGATCCACTCTGGCAAAGGCAAACAGCTGCATCTTCCGACCTGCATGAGCCAAAATGCCCTTGTTCACAGCTAGGATACATGCACCGCCGCCCTGGATGCCAAGGAATCCTGACCCGACGAGAAGAACGGTGTGCTCGACAACAGCGCACTTTCAGCGACAGCATCGTCGACCAGATCGCGAGATACATGTACTTGGCCTGTTCATTTGTCTCACAACGCCGTTCCGCAGCCCGCAGTGCATGAGCAGCGAGCGATTTGATCAGTTCTATGGCTGGCTCAGCGCAGCAAGTGGTGTTTGCGAGCAGCTTGAGCAAGACAAATCCCCTGTTTGCCTTCGGATCACAGCGGCACAGGCGGCGATTTCGATCCCATCGCTGGATTGCCCGTGTGTAATTGCCCAACTCGGGTTTACTGCTTGCTGACAGCTATCCATCGCCGCGGTGGCAGCCGGCGGCAGGTATAAGGTTGAGTGACGACCCCGCCTTCTTTCGCGAAACCTCGCTGTCGTGGTGCTTTACGACACCGTAGTCGTTCATTGCGTCATGACACTGTGTCATTGACACTGCACTCGCGTTGCTTGCTGCTTTGTCGATGTAGCATCGTGGACACTGTAGTATCCGTCGTTAGTAGTACTAAATAGTAGTAATATTACTACTTATGGACATGTATTAGTACTATCACAAAACATTACTTGCTTTTGTTAGCAGCGGGAAATTTTTTTACGCAGAAAAGGTAAAGGTTAAAAGTGAAATGACTTTTTGTGAAAAAGTATTATGGTGAATATTACTTTTCACAAAAAGAGGAATTACGAGTTGTCGCACGATTCCGCCTCGAATTCCCCCTTTCCAGTTCGAGACTTCTCCCTTCAAGCAGCTGTAGCAACTTCATCTCGGCCGGACATGGGGCGGCGCAAGCCTACAGTATCCAAGCACGCTGCACTGTTCTCAGATGAGCGCGTGGTAGTTGGTGTGGATGATCTGGTGCTGCTGCCGTCCGTGAGCGAGACTTCCATCCTAGAGAACCTCAAAATGCGTCACGCAGCTGACGTCATCTACTCGTACATTGGCCACGTCTTGGTGGTCGTAAACCCATACAAATGGCTGGACATCTACGGCGAGGATAGTATGCACGCCTATATGCACAAGGCGCGCATCGATGTGGCCCCGCACGTGTTCGCCACGGCCGAAGAGACATACCGCACCATGTTGAGCGAGGAGGACAACCAGTGCGTAATCATCAGCGGTGAGAGCGGTGCTGGCAAGACTGAGGCCTCCAAACAGATCCAGAACTACATTGCAGGCGTCAGTGGCAGCGGCGCGGGCGTCGACAAGGTTAAACGCACTTTTCTGGAGAGCAACCCGCTGCTCGAAGCTTTTGGCAACGCCAAGACTCTACGTAACAACAATTCTAGTCGCTTCGGAAAGTACTTTGAGCTGCTCTTCGACTCAGCGGGACGGCCGCAAGGCGGTAAAGTGACCAATTACCTGTTAGAAAAGTCTCGCGTTGTCAAACCGGGCAAAGGAGAGAGGAATTTCCACATTTTCTACCAAGTTCTAGCTGGATTACCTACTGCAGCTAAGCAGAAACTCTATTTGGATCGAGGTGGACCCGAGAGCTATCACTACCTTAAAATTAGTGGCTGCTATGATGTGGACGACGTCAACGACACTCAGGAGTTCGAAGAGACCATGGCAGCCATGCAGCATGTGGGCATCAAGCGCAAACAGATCGAGCTTGTAATCCAGACTCTAGCAGCGGTGCTGCATATTGGCAACGTGCAGTTCCAGCCTGAGACCGTGGGGGATGCAGAGGGTTCATCTCTTCGAGATCGTGAAAGCTTACGAATTGCGTGCGAGCTGCTGGGACTGGATGCCGCGAAACTGGAGCATGCATTGTGCTTCAAATTGCTGCAAACAATGGCGCCTGGAGGCAAGATTGAGTCGTACGAGGTGCCACAGAATACCAGCCAAGCTAAATCTCAGCGTGACTCTATAGCAAAGGCTGTGTATGACCGACTATTCGACTTTTTGGTGGAACGTGTAAACCATGCGCTGGATATTGAGAAGAAAGCGGAAAAACATGGTGAGATCTTGGAAATTGAAGATATGACCACGATCGGTATCTTGGATATCTACGGGTTTGAAATCTTCGACAAGAATGGATTCGAGCAGTTCTGCATCAACTACGTGAACGAGAAATTGCAGCAGATTTTTATTGAGCTCACACTTAAAAGCGAACAGGAGGAATATGCGCGTGAAGGTATTGAATGGGCGCCGATCCCGTTCTTTAACAACAAGGTTGTGTGCGATTTGATTGAGGCGCGACGTCCTACGCCTGGAATTTTCCTGATTCTGGACGACACGGTTAAGACGATGCATTCCCGCCAGGGAGAGAGCGTGGATGCGAATTTCTTGGATAAAGTTGCGGGTATTCACGGCTCACATCCGCATTTCTCGAAGCGTGGAAAGACTTTCGAGATCAAACATTACGCAGGTGACGTGCAGTACAACATTGACGGCTTTGGAGATTCTAACAAGGACTTTTTGAGCAAGGACATCGCACTCATCATCAGCGAGACGTCCAACAAACTCATGCGATATATCTTCCCCGAAGAGATCGACCTCAACGACAAGCGCATGGCGAACACGGCAGGATACAAGATTCGTACGCAGTGTGAAGCACTTGTGACGGCGTTGATGGACTGCACGCCTCACTACGTGCGCTGTATCAAGTCCAACGATCAGAAACAGCCGAACAAGATGGATGACCGTCGCGTAATCCATCAGATTAAATATCTGGGTCTGCTTGAGAATGTGAAGGTCCGTCGAGCCGGCTACGCTTACCGTGGAGACTATGGACGCTTTGTGGATCGTTTCCGTCTACTGAGCAAGGAGACATACCCGGAATTCCGTGGATCAGACAAGAAGGGCACACAAGCAGTACTACGCGCCGCGGTGAAGTCGCTACCACAGTTAGAGACCGAAGTTCAGCTCGGAAAGACAATGGTGTTCATCCAGACACCTGAAACTTTTTTTGAGCTTGAGAAACTACGAGAGAAGAAGCTCGGATCGTTTGCCATGCGCATTCAGAAGGCGTGGAAGAAATACTTTGGTCGGCGGCATTTACTGCAGCTGAGTCACGACATTACGAAGTTGTACACGTCGAACAACAAGCAGAGACAACGTGTGAGTATTTACCGTCCTTTTGATGGAGACTATTTGCGCGATAGTACGATTCGCGAAGTGGTTATGGGGATTATTCAGCACTATGGAGATTCCGAGAAGATCGTGTTCATGGACGAGGTACAGAAAGCCTGTCCGATCGCTGGAGTGTCTCCTGATGGATCTCCTATTGCATTGGTAGGACGAATTCTGATCATTACGGACCAGTATTTGTATCTGATGGAGAAGCGCACATGGCAACCTGTAGTGGATCCGAAGAGCATGTGGGTACCCCCGTTGGTTTACCTTCGTCGTCGTCTTCGGTTGACTGCAATAGAAGAGATCACGATGAGTACATTGGCAGACCCATATTTCGTATTGAAGGTGCATCAAGAACCGCTACTTCTCGAGCCGAACAAGAGCAACTGGGCGGACAACAAATCTACGATGGTTTGCATGGCGACTGGCAAGAAATTCGGGCTGTTTAATCGGCGTCACCACTGTCGGTACACTGGCAAAATCTACTGCAATGACGTGTGCAAGCAACTGGAAGTGGTGCCGGACCTTGGATTTTACACGCCAGTGCGCGTGTACGACAAAGTAATTGGACTCATGTCCACAGAGATGCCTGAAGACCAGCTACTACTGTCCGAGAAGAAGACCGAAATCGCTGTCACGCTTGTGGACGCTATTCGCTCCTTGGCCAGTGTCGTGACACCGATCAGTTTCAGCGATTCTATTCGTCTGCGTCGTGCAGCGAGTGCTGGACTGTCGAAGACGCCACCACAACAGATTCAGTTCGTGTCGTCAGGCCACGACAGAATCACAGGAGATATCAACAACGTGCAGATTCAAGTAGCACCAGGCGTTCCCGATGAGTACATTCGCAAGCGTCGTAAACGCGAGAAGGCTCGTCGTAAGAAACTGGAAAGGCAGCGCGAGGAAGAGCTGGCAATTCGAGCCCAACGTCATGCGCAACGCAGCCGTGAACGTGAAGCGGAGCGTCTGCGTCGTGTCGCCGAAAAGAAAGCCAAAAAGCAGGCAGAGAAGGAAGCTCGAAAGCAAGCATTGACGTCAAGAAAGTCGGCCAAGGCGTCGATGGAATCAGTTCGGAAGTTTGGCGAAAATGTACAGAGCTCGTCATCGAATGGAGGGATTGGAGGAGCCAACAGCGAGTTGGCTGCCATTCTTGCGCGTCGTCGTGGAGCATAAACTACTTTACACAAAGAGATACTGGAAGAGGGTTGAGAAAAGAAGTGCACAACAACAAAAATGAACTACACCACAATTTTTGACACTACAAACAGTTAGATTACATTGGTGCTTACATGTACAGCTTGCGGTAGCTTAGAAGTCGACGGACTGCACCGGCAAGTGGTTGATACCCACTGGTGTTACCTTGGTGCAATACCAAAGGTTGATAGACGAGAGGTTGACGAGAGTTTTCAAGTGTTCAAGTCCCCTATCCGTAATGTCTCCACACTCGGACAAATTCAACGACGTTAGCGACGTGACCTTACCCAGAGTCAGCAGGCCTTCGTCGGAGAGGAGACAGCAATTTCCGAGATCTAGTGATGTGAGATTTGGCATGTTAAGGAAGACCAAGAGACTCGCATCGGTCAGCTTGGAACAGCTTGCCAGATCGATCGACTGCAACTTCGTCAGTGTTGACAAGTTCAGGATACCTGCATCCGTGAGCTTGTTGCAGTACCAGAGCACCAGAGTCTCAATCTCCGTCATCTGTGCAACAGTTTCAGTAGCCTTGTCCGTGAGAAGACGGCAATTAGCAAGGTTCAGTGTCTTCAAGCGCGTGAGTTTTGCGAGATGAGCGACACCATTGTCATCGATGCGGTTGCAGCGCATGAGATTAAGGTTAGTGAGGTTGTGCAGCTCACCGATCCCAAGCAAAGCCTTGTTACCAACCTGACGGCAATTCGAAAGATCCAAGATCACCAGTGAGCTCAAGTTAGACAGTGCTGCGATGCCTTCATCTCGGATGCCAGAGCAGCCACCCAAGTAGAGCGACTTGAGCCGATTAAGTTTGGAGAGTTCGCTGAGACCCTCATCAGTGACGTTGAAGCAGTTCACCATATCTAGCGACGTGAGATTGCGGAGCTTCGCGATGGACTGTAACCCTCGATCAGTAACTTTGCCACATTTCATGAAATTCAGGAAACGCATGTTGGTCAGAATCTCCATGTGCTGAAAAGTTATGTCGCCGATCTCGCTGCAGTACCAAAGATTGCACGATGCCAACTTTGGGAAATTCACCAGCACCTCGGAACCCGAATCGGTGATATTGTAACATCCTGCCACGTCCAACGTGATAAGGTTGACCAGTGGTGCTAGAGCTAACAACCCACGATCTGTGACTTCTCCAACGTTGGCAATCTCCAAGTGTCGGAGGTTGACAAGCGAACTGAGTGAGCTGATGCCTTCGTCCGTGAGCTGGGTGCAGTTTGACAAATTCAGGCTTGTAAGCGATGTCACTTCTGCCAATGCGGAGATACCGACGTCTGTGAGAGCTCCTTGGTTGCAATACCACAAATTGAGCGTCTGGAGATTCTTGAGCTGAGCAAGCGCACGGATTCCGTTGTCACCGACCTGGTTGCAGCCGCGGAGACTCAAATAGTTCAGCTTCGGTAGATTGGTGGCGATAGCAGTGATACCCTCGTCACTCACGCCTTTGCAGTATCCGAGATTGAGCGACATGAGCGATTTCGACTGGGAATTGGCGAGTAAGTTGATGCTGCTGTCAGTCACCTGGTAGCACCCTTTCAGCGCCACGGACGTTAGTCCAGACAGCATAGCGAGCTGCTCGACGGATTCATCGGTGAGGTTGGAACAACCTGTTAGGTTAATCTCCTTTAAGTGGGGGAACTGCATCGGGAGGATCATCATATTATCGTCTAGAATCACCTTCCGCGCAGGGATAAACGAGAGCGCGAGTGTTGCGCGACCCACTTCTCGGCAGATTGACTTGTTCGTGAACATCAAACGGTAGATCTCGTCAACTCGCAGATACGGGACGACAATGTGCAGTGCGGGTGCGATATCTAGCAATCCGTTTATGCTGCTATTGACGCCGTCATCGATCGTCTCCATGAAGCTGCTGCATCTGCTGCGACCTGTGGATGACGACGCTCTTGATTCTGAGCGCTCCCGACGTCCGTCTCCTTCAGCGACTTTAGCTCCTTGTATCGTTTGTCGCCAGCGGTTGAACATCTTATTCCTCCACACATACATGAGTCGGTCATAAACACACGAGCAGCACTCGTCCAAGTCCTTGCGCATCCGCTCGACACTTGTTGGCTTGCCTTCGTCATCCCCACACTCCATTGCACCGCGGTCGTGGTCGTCTGCGTCCATGTTGCACTTACATGACGAGCAGATCAACTCCAGCTCCTCCGTAGTGAATGCTGACAGGGATTGAGGATTCAACCGGGTCATTGTACTTGGAGACAATTGGGATCTCTCTCGACCGTCGAGTGCTTTGGGGATTCCGAAGTGGCGAAATCACGGTCGAGACTGCATGGTTAATACCGGGTAATTGAAGCTAGGAGCAACGAGGTGGAAAGGCACCAGGCTGCAGGGCACATGTCGCTCTATGCCATCGGCGGCACAGAGCTTGGGGCATGCAGCAGATACCATCTGATGTAGCGTCCTCGGAATGATAATCAGGTTTCTGAGTCAGATTTCAGCTGTTATTCTTACCTGTGAGTGGTGGTCTTTCTTCTGTCCAAGCTTAATTGACCTTTACTTCTACTACCATCCCCGCAACAAAGGACAATTAAATTCGGACAATCAACTTCGCGGAACAATCTTTTTGGCGCAACACAATGGGTACAGCTTCGTCAGCACTAAGTGCGAATCGTTTCAAGTGAGTTGGTGGCCAAAAAGCTTCGCCCCATTTGTCAATCAGAAGCTCTCGAGTCACCAGCGCAACCTTCTCTCTATATCTACATACTCACACACATAACCAGCCATGGCTATCCGTTGTCAGTTCGAGAACAGCAATGAGATCGGTGTCTTCTCCAAGCTCACCAACTCGTACTGCCTTGTGTGCGTTGGCGGAAGCGAGAACTTCTACAGTACCTTCGAGTCCGAGTTGGCCGACCACATCCCCGTGGTGCACGCCAGTATCGCAGGCTGTCGCTTCGTGGGACGCGTGGCTGTGGGTAACAAGCGCGGCCTGTTGCTTCCCAGCACCACCACGGACCAGGAGATGCAGCACATCCGTAACGCTCTGCCCGACACGGTCGTGGTACAGCGTGTGGAGGAGCGACTCTCGGCTCTGGGTAACTGCATTACTACGAACGATCACGTGGCGCTCGTGCACACGGATTTGGACCGCGAGACGGAGGAGATCGTGGCCGACACGCTTGGCGTCGAAGTATTCCGCCAGACAGTCGCTGGCAACGCGCTCGTAGGCAGCTACAGCGCTCTGTCCAACCAGGGATGCCTCGTGCATCCGCGTACCAGCGTCGAGGACCAGGAGGAACTCAGTTCGCTTTTGCAGGTGCCCGTTGTGGCCGGTACTGTCAACCGTGGTAGCGACGTCATCGGCGCCGGTCTTGTGGTGAATGATTGGACGGCCTTCTGCGGCCTGGACACCACGTCCACCGAGATCTCAGTGGTCGAGAGCATCTTCAAGCTCCAGAACGCGCAGCCCGCCAGCATTGCTACCACCATGCGCAGCGCTCTCATCGACTCTATGACCTAAGGCAGCAGACAGTTACAACGGGCAGGACAAAGAGCGCAATTCATTTCACGGGTTCAAGGAACAAGCTCCTGTGCTGAAGACTTGGAGAGGCTCCAGTCCCCCGTGCTTTAGCTATTTAACCGTACGCTCCAATAGATGCTTTGCCAACAGAAAACTTGTCATTAATTACCATGCCACATCTTCGTTGTCTTGAGATTGGTTGAGTGGTTTAGTACAGGGCAACCGAGGCGAGGACGGCTGCTGCAGTTGTGCTAGTTCGTCGAGAATCTCCTCCAGTTGGAGCTTGAACGAGGCGATCTCGGCGTTCTTGGCCGCTATCGATGCTTGATGGGCACGTTCGCGACTAAGCTGCTCGAGGTGAGTTGAGGTCAAGGCACGATCCAGCACCACCTTGAGCTCAGCCTCGCGCAGCTTGTGCTTCTGCTCCAGAGTTGCTACTTGGAGCTCTAATGACCTATACTGCACCATAGAAGGTGTGTGAGGCAGCTGCAGTTCGCGACGTAAGGCTAAAACCTCTTCTTCTAGGTCGGGTACACGCTGTGCCTGTGCTTCCAAAGACCGATTGTGTCTCTCCGCTTCAAGCGCCAGCTTCTCAAGACTTTGCATCTCTCGTTGATTCCCTGCAAGCTGAGCTTCCAGAGCGGCGTTCTTCTCAATGTACTCTGCAACTTGTTGCTTGAGTCGATCGATTTCCTTAGTAGCAGTCTCTCGCTCGCTGTTTAAAGTCTCTCGAGTTGCATCCGAGTCATGCTTCAGCTGCGCTAGCTCTGCTTCTATCTGCTTGGACACTGCAGATTCAGACACTATAGAGCTCTCTGTCACTGATGTGGGCTGGGAGTTGAGCGCCCGAGCCAATCCTAGAGTTTGGACAGTCGTCAACGTTTGTGCCAGTCTGGCTCGAGCACTCTCGCTGTCTTCCAACTGCGCCTTCAAGTCAGCAACTTGGTCTTCAAGCTCCTTTTGTTTGCCATCTTTCACCGCGGACGAGTCGTCTGGTGTATTTGCCAGTTGAATTTCCGCCTCAAGCTGCTCCACTTTAGCTTTCTCCTGCTTCAATTCCAGCTCCTGCTCGCGTATCTGTCGTTGCAAGTTTGCAATCACTACAGTAGAATCAGCATACGTGAGACCTTCTTGCTGATTGCTGCTCAGTCCAGAATACTGTTGTTTGCGCAGAGATCGATACTTGGCCTCCCACTTGCGCTCGAGCTCTTTGATCTTGTCAGTGTAGAACCTTCGTATCTTCGTCAGTTCCGCCTCAGACGTAACACTGTCCTTGGACGTAGGTCGGTGTGATAATGGAGCCTTGCTGAGCTGCTTGAGTTGCTTCTCCAGATCTTTGATCTTGCGTTTGTACTGCAACAATAACTTCTCTTGCTGCTGACGAAAGCTCGCCAACTTGGTCTCGTTCGATTCATGCGCTTGCTCGAGCTCACGTGACAGCGCAGCTAGCTTCTCTTGATAGTCTTGTTCCAGTGCACGTGTCTTGGACTCTGCATCTGCACGACGAGAAGCCAAGATGAGGTTCGCCAAGCTGTCCGGATGTCGTCGTCTCATAGCCTCTTCCAGTTCCGCGAGTCGACTTTCAAGCTCCTGAATGCGTCGAATGTCCATCGATGACCGACGATGTGATCGAGCAGGCGATGCGTGGACTTTCTGATCTTTCGATGGCGTAGGATCGAGAGGTTGGGACGCAACTTGGCGACGAAGACGTCGTAACTCTTCGTCCTGATGGTCGAGTAATCTCTGGTTCTCCACATACCAGTCCAGCTTCTTCTGGAGTGCAGCCAAGGCATGAGAGTGCTCTTTCTTGCTTAGTTCCAACTCACTCTGCAGCTGTTGAGCGTGCTGAGCTTCCTGAGCCACTTGGGTCAAGTCAACGCCTTCGTAGCGACACTCAAGCTCAACCTTTGCCTTCTTCACACGATCAAGCTCCAGTGTAATCTCGTTGAGCTTCTGTTGGTACGATAATCGAACACCAGCAAGCTCTTCCTGGAGAGCCATAGCATGCGCCTCCGCCTCAAGTCGACCTTCCACTGCAACGCGGTACTGAGCCTTGCTGGTTAGATCTCCACCACCACCGAGAGTTGCTACTTCTCCAAGTTGATCCTGTAACTTCTTAACCTGCCGACGCAGTTCTTCATTCGCTTTATGGACATCGTAATGAACGTCCTGTCGCACTTGCTTGAGTTGCCCCATGAGACGCTCATTCTCCTTCTGAAATGCCGCGATCAAGTTATCCTGGGTCTTAATCTCTTGCTGCAATTTTCTGTAGGCAGCTTGAGAAATATTATGAGAAGATTCGCCCCGTGCAGCCAGAATGTCCTCAGAATCCAGCTTATCTGCTTGTGCTTTCGATGTATTGAGACTGTCACGTCCTGGTTGAGAAGTCTCACTCGCTGTAGCCTGGATATGCTCTTTCAACTGAAGAATCTGACGCTGGGCCTGCTGAAGACGTAACACAAGTCCATTCTCTCTTGCGAGGCTGGCTCGTTGCGCGACTACGCGTTTCTCTTGTCGTAAAATTTGAGAGCTGCGTACATACTCGTCGATCTCACGTTGTGTATCATCATCCTCTGTTAGAAGACCCGCATCAAATGAAATTGCGATGGGCTCGATGAAAGGAGGTGGTGCACCAACTGAGGCCCGGGAGCTGGCCAAAAAATTGGAGGAAACAGGATGCACACCCTCAGCTGAAGGAGAATCTGCTGCCGTAAGACTTGGGGTACCACCAGGCTGAATAAAGTGCAGTGATGCAACTTGGGTTTCTATCCGACGGAACTTGTCAGCAGCTGAAAGAGGTCGCAAATACTGCGTAGTCGCTGTTGATGTGGACTGCTGTACTGCAGACTGGACTTGAGCCTTGGACCCGATCACTGGAGCATTTAATGAAAATTTCTGCAATTCTTGATCCTCGAAATCTTCATCTGCAGGAGGAGGTGGAGGTGGTGGACTCTGGAAAAACCAAAGCGTCAGTTTGGTGAGAGTCAACACAATTCCTAGAGCACGCAAGATCAACGTACAGAGGGAGGTGATTCGGCAATCCCAGTCGAGACCACGAGTGTTGTAGAGCTTGGAGCAGGGACAGAGGTAGCATTTTTGGTTGGTACTGAACTTGGTGTTGGATCCGAAGCTTCCTGTGTCTCTTGCCTTAGTTCAGCGCTGTCATTTAATGTTTCTTGTGTTGCAGGCTCTTCTTCGTTGTCTTGTGTGTAGAAGTCTCCATACTTTGCGAGCAGGGCATCAATCTTTGAGGCTTGCTCGACGATAGGATCATTGACAGCAGGTGTGGCATCATCTTGTGCTATGATGTTAGGATGTTCATGCGGAGCATTACTCGGAGCCTCGTTCGAAGAAGCAAGCTCACCTTCAAAAGCATCGTCTTCATAGTCGTCATTATATTCCACGTCCGATGTTGCTGACGCATCGTCCTGGGCTGTACCGGCAATTTGCTAAGCAAAACACTTTAGTAATCAAATAATATTCAATTTACTCAATCATGCGAAGTCGATATCCAGAAAATACCTCTTGGTCTTCCGATACAGGGATTACTTCTTCTTGTCTCGACCTCTCGGTTTCCTACAATTGGAAAATGTATCTTAGCTCACTCTTCGCTCCACAATATACTTCTAGTAGCAACTTCTTCGCATGATTACCTCAAACTCGTCATCGCCGTAGCCAAACGTATCGCTAGCATCTAATGGCTTTTGCTCAGCACTTGCCGACAGGTAGAATTCAGGCTCTTGAATTTCAGTTCTCTCCGTTATGCTATCGGCATCTTGTTCGGATTTTAAGAAGGTCAACTGTTGTTGCTCGTAGCGTGGAGGCGTTGCTGTAGCTACGTAAGCACACACCGATATCAATGACGGATATGACGACGACCCTTCCATACTAAACTAACATACCGCGTTCGCTATTGAGTGCATCTCTATTGACAGCAAAATTCTCACTGTCATCGCTTGACTGCATTGGGAAAACAGATATAATAGCATGAAGTCAATATCCACAACGATGAAGATTTTCAACACCGAAAAAAACGCACGAGAGAGAGTCGTGTTCGATTGACGATTGGCTTAAGTGGGAGATGGACCTGAATCATCCCCATAAATCATTTTGTTTTTCAAAATGGCAGATAAAACGACAAAGGGATTTGTACTTACCTCAAAATCCGCAGATACGACCCCCAACGAGTCCGATAAGCTAGAACGTTCTGCATCAATGTTACTGTTTTTGTTGTCATTCTTGCTACCGCTTTGCTGTTCTTGTCGTGTACCTAGCGATTCCTCTTCCTTTCTTGCGGAAGGCTCTGTTGCCTTCTTCACATCGCTTTCCTATTTCACAGCATGACAAAACAATTTTATTAACATAGCAACTTTTAGCTTCCATGTAATGACAAAAAAATACGAAACCTTGTCGCTAACTTCATCTTCGTCGCTTTTTTCGTCGACCTGGAACTGAGCACTCCCTGTGCGTTTCAAGATCTCTGCGATGCGATCTTCCATTGAGATCGGCGCGCTCTTAGTCGCCACCTTCTTTGCCAGCGTTTTAAGCTCATCATTCTTTTTCTTCTTCTTCAATGCATGTTCCTCATCATAATCCTTCTCTCTCTTTAGAGTGGTCGAAAACGCGGTCGAGGTCATATCAAACGCATACGGATCGGTACTACAGTGCTCTTGGGTCAGTCATCAGATCTAAGACTACAACATAACTCTTTCACTACGCAACATACCTTGAATCTTTAAGAACACCGCCTCGTCCGGTAGAGTAGTCGTCATAATAACTCGGAGGAGGTTCTTCCGAGTCCGAAAGCTGCGTTTTCGACGGCTTTTTGCCGCTTTTCTTTGTGCCATTGCTCTTGCTTTTACTTGTTCTTTTGTGGCTCTTGCTCAATCTCGACGACGCCAGCATTGCAGCAGCTGCTGCAGTTACTGCAGACGCCGATGAAGTTGTATAAGTACCACCAGCCTTCGATCTGCGCTTTGCCGGCTCAGGAGACATCGAGTCTTCATCTTCCTGCAGAAAACTGGCCCAACACAAACATGAATAAAATAGTCGCCACTGCACTTCAGAGGGCCGTTCAATCATGACCATATTGCCAAGACGCTGGAAAACATAGTCGAATTACCCGATCCAACAACCGATGATTGGAAGGGCATGATATACGCACCGTTCGAACTCTCCGTCCGATTCAGAATCCATGCCGCTGCCGTAGATTTGAATTGTGGAAAATACAAAAGTACCGTAGATGAAAACTACTAAGTACGAATTCGAGGCGACACCACACGAGGTCAATATTAAGAAAAACTCACCCCGAGCCCATCAAGTCGAAGTCAAGAGGACGCCGGTTAAGCATTATGGGGGTAGACAAGAACAATGGTATGCATTTCTTCACGTAGCGGTTTGTCTTAGCTACAATTTGAGCCTCTGGTTAATGTCTGAAGCTCCTTCAGGGCTCTGCAACACGGAGCATGGTGACACGTAGACTATTTGAAAATTCCTAACGTTATGATGCAATTGTCATGCTCGATTGCAATATGACAGACGAAGGGAAGATTATGGAGAAGGGAGCGACAGAAACACCCATCCAGAACATGTACAGCTTTTGGTACATCAAGCGCAGCACTGGCAACAAGGCCGTCAGCGTAGGATATTCGTCAGCTTTTATCGTTGTTGCAATAATTGTGCAAAGTGAACTGATGTGATTGATAACCCGCAGGAGAGCTACGAGAAGAGCATCAAGGGGCTCGGTGACTTCAAGACGGTGTGAAAATTGGTGGCTGTAGAGCTGGATAATGTGGTGATAATAATGTGCTGACTGAGGATTTATTGGTTATAGGTCCAGGATTTTTGGAGGATTTACAACCACTTGGTGCGGCCGAATGACCTGCCGAACACCATGGACTACCACCTTTTCAAGACGGGAATCAAGCCCATGTGGGAAGACCCAGCCAACCGACGAGGTGGCAAGTGGATGGTGCGCCTTCGCAAGGGCATCGCCTCTCGTTACTGGGAAGATCTGGTGCGTGCGCTAGAATAAAAATCAATGTTTTTAAAAGGAACATAGGCTGATAGGTCTCTTGGATTAGGTGCTAGCGATCATTGGCGAGCAGTTTGACGTGGGAAACGAGATCTGTGGCGCTGTCATTTCGATCCGATACAACGAGGACATCATCTCACTCTGGAACCGCAATGCTGACAACAACGAAGCGTGCTACCGCATTCGGTACGACAAAGGCGCATGATCTCTGCTTTTTAAGTGTTAGTTTGACATGGTTTCGTTGCTATACAGTGATACGATGCGGAAAGTGCTCAACCTACCGCAATTTGTGGCGTTGGAGTACAAGCGCCACGACACGTCTCTGAACGACAACTCTAGTTTCCGCAATACGACGCTGTGGCGCTCGGACAAAAACGATGGCAACAGTCGTGAAGGCTCTTCTAGCGGGGATCGAACGTCTTCTGGCTCGCGTTACTCCCGCGGCGACAAGTCTTCAGGTCACCAACGATCAGCTTGGGGCCGTGACAACAAGCGTTCCTTCTACAAGTCCGACAGCGGCGACAACGGCCATCACCGTAACAGCAGGACCAACGATGACAAGGGTGAGGGTGACCACTAAGGACCTTACTCGGTCAGACAGGAGACGCAGCAGCACCAACAGTAGTAGCAGCTGCATGGGGCTGGTTGAACAGGTAGGTACCAATCCACCCGCTTGGTGGAGTAAGGAGCAACATGAGACCACAATCAGTCGTGTAGCTGCTGAAGGAGACGGTAAGACAGGTTGTGTGTGAAGATCAGTTGAAGTGATTCGAATACGAGACGAAGATGAAGATCCACTGCTTGTTGCCTAAAAATACGTGCTGTCGGGAGGTCAGAACTGTGGAGGGGCCATATTTGTTTCCGACGTTCCTTTATTTGCTGTGTGGCAGACCATTTCTATCAAAGCCAAGCAGATTATCTCGAACGGATCATGGACCAGCAATCCCAGAAGGCTCGCAACAAGGGTGTTGCTATCTCAGCACTAATCCGTGGTGGTAAGAACATTTCCGATTTCAGTTTGATCTCAAATTCTGATAAAATGGCTGGTATTTGTAGAGCAAGAGCGCTATAGAATGTATGACCCTCACCTCATCGCCGCTCTCGACGAGGTCTACCAGTACATTACTACGAAAGTCGACCCGATCCTGACCAAGGTACTGGAAGAGGTGCTGCTGTATCAGCCAGATCAGACAGCCGATTTCCTCGCCAATGCAGTTCGAGGCACCCTCAATCTCAAGAAGTACAATTACGTGGTACGTGAAGGATTTCACAATTTTAGAGGTACCATTGACAACGTTCTCATGTTGGTCGCCACGTAGGAGCTCAAGCGGCAGGTTTACTTCGACCGCAAGGTCCGACACCTCATGATACTAGCGACCAACAATGCCATTCGTGAGCGTCCTGCTGATGTTCAAGAATTTTTAGCGGAACTCTTTGAAGCTCGCTCCAAATTCTACTAACTATTACTTCAAAGGAGTAGTGAGAGATGTCGGAAGTTCTAAAAATACTACGTAGTAGGTCATACGGTTCTTTTTTTAGTCGAAGATCTTAATTTTCTCCTGTAGAGACGCGTCTTGAAGGTCACTATGGCTTAAACCAAGCACGAGCTCGTCATGGGCGGGTCCTCCGGCATTGAGCGTGTAGTAAGCTTAGTGCATGAGGCGCCACCACTCATGACTAAGTTGACATTGGCTTTACGTTCTTGGCCAGACGACTTGATCCCGTCGATCGAAGAGAGGGGCCCGAAATTTGACATTACGCATGAGAAGCTACATGTAGATGCGTCTACGCGAAGTCCGCAAGTCACTGACAAGCACAAAGACGCAGCCTATGATCGTCACGACTTCTGTCGCTAAACGGGCATACAGCACAGAGACACCGGAACGTCTTGACGTGAAGATGACGACTCATTAATACGAACGGTATCCGATATGATGCATGGACTGCTCATCAAGATCATTTGTGTCCATTGCAGATTTATGATCATTTACGACTTGTTCCTAACGCTCAACCTCCCAGGTGTGCGAGTGCTGAATGTCTTGGCGCAGCGAGCGGTGGCAAACCTGATGTCGACGACTTAGATCTCACGAACACACACTCCACCAAGCGCTGACCATGGTGCTGGCGATCACCAACATTGTTGGCAACAAGGAGTTGAACTACCTGGTCAACAAAGATGGAGACACACTTTAACCAACCAAGTTCCAGACACAGAAGGAAGCACACGGTGACCATGATAGATGGGATGGTCCAGCAACGGTGGCTATGACATAAGAGATGGCCCAGCGACAAGCAGCATGCACGCTGCAGATTAGCTTGCCTGGTTGAAGTATCATGGTCTCGAACAGCTTTCAAGCCGCTGTGGACCTGCTCAACGAGAGGGGGACGTGTTGTTGTCGAATTAGGGCAGAATAGTCTATCGTGTAAAACTCTATCACTCTGATGAAGTTGCCGATAAACTTCTCCTACCGGCTGCTACACTTGCTCTCAGTGGAATACTCCGCTGCCAGGTGGAAAGGTTTACAGGTTTCTCGAAACCTGTTTGCTGTTCGAACCTGTACGTTTATAAAGAGGTGGGACCGTTGAAAAGAGCCTGCGCAACGTACCGTTTGCAATGCGTCCATGCACCCCATCTGGGAACATTTCTCCCCATTTCAGCTTCTGCCTGGGAACCAACAAGTGCTCAAGGCGATGGCCGTTGCGTTGAGGCTTCTGCTAGCGCTAGCAGTTACAGTGCATTACGCAGCTGCGGGGCCTGAGTATTACAATCCATGGTACATCATCAACATTGCGACCGTCGTCTCCATGTCCGATGAAAGAGAGCAAGCAAATTCGTCGTCTTCAGTGATTGAAGACTTTGGGGAGCGACTCGATGTGGTGCTAGTAGGCAAAGATTCAATCTCGGACGCTTGGAATGACGCTGCAGATGGCTACGCCGTCGCAGCTAACAATAAGATTCTGTACCAGACAGCGAGCTGGTCCCTAATTGAAGACGGAACGCAGGGTGGCAAGTTTTCGTCGTTCTGGGCACGATTCCAGGCTGTTAACGCTAATGCTTCGTTCATGTCGATGTGCGCTATGATGGCGGAGTGGGACAGCTCGTGGAAGGAGAACAAGGCGGTTCTGTCGGCTGTCGACGTTATGGATCGTCTAGACAGCAAATGCGAGGAGAACGACACCATCGCTCTAGCTTTCAACACTGCGGTCTCGGATAATGCGGTGCGCTATTTACAGGGGGAAATCGCAGTCAATGGCGTCATTTCTCCATTCATGATGCACAAGGTGGAGAGCTCAAAGATTCCTGAAGCCGCTGACCGTTTGTTCGTCCGTCTAGCCGATGGACTTTGCCCTCGAGACGAGTCGGCCAAAGCATTATCTTCTCAAATGCAATCGGAAGTCCCATTGATAAGCCTCTTCAGAGGTGAAGTATGTGCTCCTTTCTTCGGCCCTAAAAACTCGCAGACATCGAACGAAGAGAGTGATCACAACGATTCAGACTGGAAGGGAGATCTTCGGTTCATCATTCCTGTTGGTGCATGCGTCTTCGTGCTCGGATGCGCTGGCTTGGTCTACCTTTTACGAAGAAACAAGAAGGAGTCTACCAAATCCGAGACGGCGGAAACCCCCAAGGAAGAAGACAAGCAGGATCCTTCCAGTCTACCTTACGTGCTTTCTGTACACCCAGTATAAATACACTGTAAATCTCCTGAACTATAGGTTAAAGAGATCGTTTTGTAGCGAAATTCTTCTATCTCGGATGTGAGGAGTGATGCTGCTCCTGCTGGCTATGCTGCCGCCGCTGACGATCGAGTCCTGTATCAAAGAGCAACCTGGGCATTACGTGAAGAAGGAGCTCAGTACGAGCAGGTATCGACGTTCTGGGCAATATTTCATGTAGCGAACTCTTCAGCTTCGGTGTCATCACCTCTGCTGATTTGCTTTATGGTAGTGGAGTGGGAAGCCAGTTCTTGGTCAGAAAGCAATGCAGCCCAAGACGCCGTCGAGATTGTGGATCGAGTGCAGAATAACTGCGGTAAGAACGATACCATTATTCTGGCGTTCACTTCTGCCGTCACGGATACCGTAGCTGAGTATCTGGAGGGGAAATCTGCTGTGAACGATACCGTGGCACCGATCACACTTCAAAACGTAGAAGGCTTCCATCTTCTTGATACAGAGCAAGAAGCATCAACGCGCGAATTTCTTTTCGTTCGACTTGGCGGCAGCACTTGTATTGGAGACGCATTAGCAGGAGGGCCATCGGATTCGTTGAGCAGCTCAAATTCCATGGTTATGAGCCTTTACACAGGGGATTATTGCAACGAACTGGAGCAGATACGACCCAATGTATCTGATGACGATAATGATCCCGATGACTCGGATTGAAAGGACGATCTTAGCTTTATCATTCCTGTCGCCGTCTGCATGTTTCTGGTTGGATGTGCGGGCCAGGCAACGTTGTTCGAGATAAAAAGAAGAACACAGCTGGTAGCGAGACTCCCAAGGGCGAAGCGAAAGGGGTCATTCCGAGCCCGCCTTATATCCTCGCGATCCATCCTGTAGTCTGACAAGCATCAGTAGTATCATACAGATCTACATACTTCATAATATATCCAGTCAAAATCGCTGAATGCATTACATTTAGCACCTTGCTCGCTCGCATGCCGGTCTAGACATTAGTGCTTGTTCTCCAGCAGGTAGAGCAGGAAGGACGCGCTCGAGAGTTTCACGGCGCAGTTGACGCGGTCGAGGTCATGACCGCCCTCCACAAGCCCCCAGTTGTTGATCTGGAACTCTTCCTCCAAGCGGCAGATATCCATGGCCTCCTTCGCTGTGATATGGCGCTTAAAGACCGCCAATGCGGTGATCAAAGACTACATCAATAAGCAGCACAAATACTCGTTAGCAACCATAGACATATAGTCAGCATTAAAACGACCAAAACGAACCTTGCACTCCTTCGTCAGCGTGCGCATAGCCGTCAGCTCGAAGTCATTCAGCTGTCACAACAACAGCAGTACCATATCATCAACCATCCCTGAACATGTTTTTTTTTTTCTACCAGCCGCAGCACGAACCTTCTCCAAGTGAGCGCGCACATTGTCGACAAGCTGCTGGTCGTGCGCCAGGCGGTCGATGCTGCCGTGGCTCACGTCCACTTCGCCCTCGAACAAGTCGCTGAACCACTTGCGGATGGGTTTCCACTTCTTCTGTTGCAACGCAACGAGCTTCTCCTGTTGGTCGGCCGTCACCTGGTAGCAAACCGTGTCCGTGTGTAGGTAGTGCATCATCTCGTCGATCGTCTCCTGGCTGCTGGAAGTGTACACGAGATCCAGCGCTGTGGACGCCAGCGTCATGATAGGCATCGTGGCCGGGCGGATGTCATGGCTCTGCGAGTCCCACTCGTGGGCCACAGCGTACGCCATAGCGCGCGTCGGCAACCGCACGGGCTGCTGTCGCGGTGTCTTGACCGTCTTGCCATCCAGAGTCACAGCGTAGAGCTTACGTGGCTCTTCTCCGGCCTCTTTCTCTGGACCCTCCACGTCCTTGACGCCCACATCTTTATAGAAGCGCAGGACGCCTGTGATCTTCGGTCCAGCGATGCCACCGGCGCCTGCTTTGGCCGAGAACGTGCGCTGCGAGACCGCGCTGAGCGTCTTCAGCGTCCGCGAGGAGCTCAACATTTTGTAGTGTCAAAAAGTGTGGATGAAAAAGTTGGTGCTCCGGTTAAGTACGAAGAGAGGTTGGTGTGCAGATGGTGTGCAACTGAAATCGATCACTTTGTGATTGTTACAACAACCATGTCGTCGAACCCGCAGCACGTGGTGGACACGGAGGACGCAGCGGAGCTCAACCTGGGCGACGACTTCCGCAACGAGACGTGTCTGTCTAACGCCGAGGTGGCTGTTATCCTTGAGAAGCAGAAGTCCGATTACGAAACGCAGGAGAAGCAGCTCACCAAGTGCGTCACAGCGACCTTTGCGTTGACTAGATTTATTTTTTTTATCCTTCTTTTGTTGCGGTTGAACTAAATCCTATACGTGGCTGTGCTACTACACAGTGTGTTCCAGAAGACGTATTCGTACGTACAGCGCTTCAGTGGTACCAAGGACCCTGTGGCCAACCAAGCTTCGGTCACCGAGCTCCGCGAGTACGTGGTTTCCAGCCTCTGTAATGTTTCCCCGTATACTGTAGTGATTTTAACCTCTGCTGTATTTTGCGTACAGAGCACTAATGTCGCTGGCGTTCCAGCGCGAGGCGGACGGCGAAACCGTTGAGTACCGACTCGAGGAGTTTGAGATTGCGTGTCTGTCTAATCTGAACCCTGAAGAGGTGGAAGAGGCCGTAGCTCTCATCCCCAGTCTTCACAAGCGCTTCGCCGAGGATGAGATTGAAGAAATCCTGGGCATTGTGTCTCGTACGGCGGCTCGCATGTTCGGCTAAGTAGCTCAGGTCGTATGGCATCATTTTAACGTTTGCAACCTGTAACGGGTAATTGACATGATTTCGACCGTAACATGCTGTCTCACACGTCGCATACACGTTAAGAACTTAACCAAGAGCTTTTTGCTCAGATTTGTGCATGAACGATGGCCGAAGGCGCATATAATCCGCGGCGGAAACGGCGTCGTACAGAGCCTCCAGCAGCTTCCATTAAAATTGAACATCACCAACCTATAGCTAGCTCAACATACGAAGCGTCTGCAAAGCAGGAAGTTTCATGGTTTCGCCAAGAGCGAGGAATTGCAGTCGAAGGAGAAGACCCAATTCCGCCCCCAATTCGCAGTTTCTCCGAGCTTTTGCTGTCTCCAGACGTCATTTCCTTGTTACAATCCCGTGGGGTCACGACCCCGTCGTCGGTGCAGTCCCAGGCACTTCCATGTGTCTTCCAAGGTCGCGATGTCGTCGCTTTGGCCCCAACAGGCAGTGGAAAGTCCCTGTGCTACATTCTCCCCACGGTTAGACTGCTGCAAGGATTGCTCAGGCAAACAGTTCTTGGGTTTGATCATTACTCTCCAATGTCCGTAATACCAACTTCACCTTGTGCGTTGGTTATGGTACCAACACGAGAGCTTGTCGATCAAGTGGTGCAGGACCTCGCTGCATTCTTCCCCAGCTCGACAAGTCCACCGGTTGTTGGAATCTGCGGTGGCGTTGCAGTGGACGATCAGCTTGCAGAGCTTCGTCAACATGCAACTAGTCCAGTCGCAATGGTGGCGACGCCAGGAAGACTGTTACATCTCGTGCAGTGTCACGCAGCAACATTATCGCTTAGGCGGATCTCTCTCCTTGTAGTAGACGAGGTGGACCGCGTGTTGGACGCTCTAGATATGGAGACGCAGCTACGGGAGATTCTACAAATTACAAACTCGTCCGGCCGACAGACGCTATTGCTCTCTGCTACGCTGCCTGTGTTCTTACCACGGTTGGCGCGATCGGCAGTGCTTCGACCAGTCACGATTCGCGTTGAAGAAGCAAACATGGCGACCCAAGCTCCGTGTCCACTGTCGAATCAAGCTACTAGCGCTACCCCAATGACTATGCTTGCACTCTCTACGACCTCGACTGTGGTTCATGACGTACAGTTCATGCGTCTGGCTGAAAAACCTTTTCGTTTGTTCCGCGTGTTGCGAGCGACTAAACACCCGCCAGTTTTGATATTCTGCAACTCGCGGTCAAGTGTTGAACGCGTCGCCCGTCTACTACGCTACGAACAATTCCACGTGGCTCCGCTGCATGCTGGGCAGTCTCAAGGGTATCGTACTCGTGCACTACGCGCATTTCGAGCAGGATACGTTGACGTTCTGGTGGCTACAGATCTGGCCTCGCGTGGACTTGACCTCCCTGGTGTCAAGCATGTTGTGTTGTTCGACATGCCGTCTACTATTGAAGACTATGTGCATCGCTGCGGTCGTACAGGAAGGCATCCTGGAGGTGACTTTGAAGTTTCTGGTGCTTCGGGTAAAGTCACATCGTTCCTGACGCGTGAATGTGCAATTGCAATGGAGCTGAAACAAGTGCTAAGTGCGGCTAGACAACCACTGCCTCGTGAGCTGGAGGTACCAAAGAAGTTCCACCAAACCGTTGGTACTGAGCAAGAGCAATAGCACTTGATCATTACCAACCACAACTACCTCGTGGGACGTTGCGAACCAACTGGAATTTTTGCCAACTACTGAAGGACGAAGAGAGAAGTGATCGCCAAAGAGGCATGGCGTTTTCTTTTCGACCTTTGATGGAGTCGAATGACGCTGTAGAGCTGAATTCGGGCGAAGACTTCGAGAATAACACCTGTCTATCCAAAGCCGAAGTAGCTATCTTCCTGGATAAGCAGAAGATCAATTACGTTGAGCAGAAGAAAATGTTCGCGAGGTTTGAATCTCCAGTTTGACTACATTATTCTGAACATTGTTGGGTTTAACTGTTGATGCCAACACACTCTACATAGTGGTTCAAAAAAATGCAAGACACGCTTCACTGGAACAAAAGACCCTGTGGCCAACCAAGCTGCTGTTATTGAGCTTCGTGAGTACGTGACTTTTAATATCCTAATGTTTGATGTGAATGTCAAACCGGTAATATGCAAACTTCAAACCTGTAGTGCTCTCCAGTCGCTCTCGTTTGAGCATGGAGGAGTTCGAGATCGCAAGCTTGTCCAATTTGTACCTGGAGGAAGTAGAAGAAGCTGTGGCTCTGATTCCAAGTCTGTCCCAGCACTTTACTGACCACGAGATCGAGGAAATGCTTGGTGTTATCTCGCTTTTGATGGCGCAAATGTTTCACTGAACACGTCTTGAGTGTGGGGGTTTGAACACTATAGCAAAGCGAAGAATATCAACAAAGGGTTCAACAACAGTTTGGTTTACTTATTCTCATGATTGCCGGCCACGCTATATGCAATGTACTGCTCACATGCAACCTATAGTTCGTATTCACGGAAACTCTTGACGAGCTTCATCACCTGGTCACCAGCAAAACGACCAAGGGCACCACGTGCTACAGCCAGTTCAGAGAATCGCGTCACACGGTCCGTTAATGGGCCAACCAAAGAATCTTGCGGCTTACCAACGTTTTTAAAGTGCTGCATCCTCTCGTACGCAACTCCAGCACGTGCAACTGCGAACGGCACAGGTTCAAATGTATGGTCTCCATACTTGACAGGTGTAGTGTGATCTCCAGTAACAACGATGGTCACGTCGTTGGCCTCCTCTCCACAGTCAGCGTGAATACCTTCCAACAGCACAGAGATCATCTCGTCTGCGCGCTCAGTGAAGTGTACCTTCTTGGCGACGTCACGGTCGTGACCGGCATCATCCACTGCCTTGACGTGGACAAAACCAAAGTCGAACTCGCCACCACGAAGCACCTTCAACGCCGTCTCAGCCTTCGAACGCAAATTCGTGTGATAATCTCCGGTGGCGCCAGAAGCGGAGACAATTTCAAAACCCAGTGACATGCCCAAACCAGCGATGATGCAGGTCGGGGCGATCATGAAAGGGGTTAATCCGTGCATCTCAGTGAACGTTGGGACGTCAATTCGTTCGCCAGGGCCACGAAGCAGTACCACGTTTGCCGGTGGTTTTCCCTCTGCCTCACGCGCCTTGTTGATGGGGTGATCCGAAAGTTTCTCGTGGATGGCATTCGATACTGCGTTCAGCACCTTGCTCGAGTATGCAGCCTCAGGAGTATCATTCAGCGGCTCTGACGTCACCAGCGGCAAGCTAAGGATAAAGACACATCGAGAAATGCCGTAAATTTGCATTAGTTCGAAGTAACTGTACAGAAGATCCGTCAAGTACGTACTGGTCCTTTAACGGGTCGGTGCCAGTCATTTTGTCACTGAGTCCGGGGCCTTTGAAAACAATTCCGCAACGGTGTTCCGTAGCGTATTTCGTGGCCACCACTAGACCAGGAAACTCCGGGAGAGTAAGTCCATCCAAGAAGCTGCAAAGATCAATGCCCCAGGACGGGAAGTTGCGGTCCACACGTCGCCTTTCGACAATCAATTGGCCGTCATCATTCTGCTCCACAGTGGCGAAATTACACTTGAACGCAACGTCTCCCTTGCTCATCGGTAGTCCAGCCCCCATAGCCTCAAAGGATCCACGTCCACGGTAGTGACTAAGATTCAATACAAAAGAATCACAGAGTTAGGCACAATATGAACGCCAAGGTCTCGTCTACAGACACGTACACGATGGGATTGTAACCCAGGATGGACATGTGCGCCGTGTCGCTACCACAAGCGTAACCAGGCTCCACAGGGTCCATGAGGCCTGTGAGACCTCCGTCTAGAGGCAGAAAACAAGGCATTACAGACATCAGTGAGAGATAAGATCTGAAAACGCTAGGAAAGACGAGAGCGTACGAGCTATGGCATCCATGGCGGGCGTGTGTGCGGCCTCCAGGGGCGTCTGCTGGTCCAGCTCTTGCAAGGATACGTCGGCCAGCCCGTCGATGAGCACGAACACCACTGATCTCTTCTTCATTCTGCTGACGTACGCAGGAGCTCGTGCGATGTGAAGTATCCAAATCGTCGTATTTACCTAGAATCTGATTTTTAGTTAAGAGCTCTAATAACTAAATAATCGTTCCAGAATTCAAGGGTTTAGCCGCCAATTTAGATGGTCGTAAATAGAAGTACGTTTTCAAATTTAGATATAAAATTACATCTTAAAAAACAGTTGGGTTTTTGTCGTTCACCAGACGAAAAAAACCATTAAATTTTTATTGGTTTTTTTGTCTGAATGCCTGGGTTATTCAGAACCAAACTCAAAAAAAGTCAAATTTTGGGTCGTAATAATATAGGCAAGTTGGATGGCATTTCACATAAATGCCATCCAACTTGCCTATATTATTAACATAGTTCCAAAAACTCGTCGTGACGCATGCTGATTGGCCGGGATGGCATTCAGACGAAAATAAGCCATTAAATTTTTAATGGGTTTTTTTCGTCTGAATGCCATCCAAGCATATATTATTACGACCCACAATTGGACTTTTTTTGAGTTGAATAACCCAAATAAACCATGCCGTTAGATGCCATTGGATGCCATTCACCACCAAAGGCTTACCCGCAACCTGTTGTCCGCTAGTGTCTTCCTGGCCCACCTGTTGCCAATTATACTGTTCCGTGTTTGCTTGTGATTTTGAATGGACGAGTCGACCTGCAAGCTTGGCCACCAACAACGAAGCAACATGCCTGCGGAGGACACCACTTTAGGATCTGCATCGCTTCTGACACTGACAGTCAGGGGTGACACCCGGCCAACGCTACGAAATTTATCGGGCTCTGAGGTCTTAGCTTGTCCTCTTTCTTCCTCTTGGACAAGTAGTTGCAGTACCCAGGCTTCTTTTGTTTTTATTTCCATTTGTATCTTTGTGCTTGAGTCTTCACCATCTTCAGACTCCTGCTCTTTTGATTGCCTGTCTTGCACCTGTATTATCTGGTAGATAGTAACACGAACCAGCAGCAAGCAATCGCGAAGTGAAGCAGACGAGGGAAGTCGAAGCGAGATGCCGTGCAGTTCCATGCAGTTGTTGATGTCGGTAGCTTGGATCGTCGGCGGTAATTCGATTGGAGGCCTGGGGTTTGAGAGCTGCTACTCGCCAACGATATACCAAGCTAATGCGTGATTGAGTGAACTTAGTCCCGTCCGCTCGAGCGAGGAGGAGAACCCGACGGCGAACGGCGGCCTTCATCTCGTCGGGGAGACGACGAATACGAGCGGTCCTTCGAGCGACGAGGTGAAGGCGACGGTGACCGAGCAGCGGGCGATGTCGACCGGCGAGGAGACGCAGAGCGACGAGGCGATGCTGGTGCACGCGGCGACCGGGAACGCGAGCGCGCAGCCGGAGACCCAGATCGACGCGCGGGCGAGCGACCGCGAGAACCCGAGCGAGAACGCGAGCGGGATCGGCCCTTCACAGGAGAGCGCGAGCGTGACGAGCGACGAGCCGGAGCCCGACGGTCACGAGAGCGAGAACGAGATCGGCCGCGCGGCGCACGGCGGCGCGGAGATCTTGAACGCGAGCGGCGACCTCCTCCACGTCTCTCCGTCCTGCGTCCATCAACACGGTCACTTCCTGTCTTTAAAGTCTATGATAATTACAACTACATAAAGTTTATGACACGCACCTCTCACGCTCCCGCATCTGCTCCGTTGATTTGCGGCGCTCCTGGGCGAACACCACGCGGATGTCGCGGCCGTCAATGCGCACACCGTCCAAGTTGCGGCGCGCATCTTCCGCCTCGCGCTCACTACGGAATTCGACGAATGCAAAGCCCTTGGGCTCCCTGTTGCAATTGCACACAAAGCAAGTTGTCAGCTGTGTGGTCCTTCAACATCCTCTTTGTAGCGATCTAGCAGCCTGGAGTGGGCGCACGTACTTGGTGTAGAAATCCTTGGGAATGTAAACGTCGCGCACCTCACCGTAGCGCTCGAATTCCTTTCGAATGTCCTCGGGTCTGTAGATCGGGACACAGCAGCGATTTGTCGTGTTTGGTCATTGCATTCAGTGGTAAAAGACGCGTAGAGCGGATCACAATGCAATGAAGACGCATTCTACCTCAGACGGCGGCTGATGTTGCGCACCAGCAGCGAGATTCCTCCACGGTCGCCCATGATTGTCTGTCCAGTGGCCCTTTAGACGGATGTTACTTGCCTCTTCGGCTCGGGAGTTTTCCAGTATGACATCTATGTTGGGAAGCCAACCATTCCTACTGGCAAATCGTATGAGTTGTTATGACCAATCGGAGCGGTTATCGAATATTTAACGGTGTTGATTGGATAATAATTAGAACTTCAATTTCCGGTGCAAACAAAACAAAATGTGACTTGTCAAATTGCGTGCATCAAATTACGCATGCTCCTCCTTAGCATTAACTGTTAGATTTTAGACAGCACGACCCACCAGAGCGTAAAGCAGATGCAACCAGCGATCACCAGTGCAAGAATGGTGTTGTTGCGCATCTTCTTGCGGCGAATCTGTTCGACAAGCGTGTTGATACCAGCGAACGAGCTGCCCAGCGTCGCTACCTTGCCATGAGACGATGTGAACTGCCGACGCTGGTTCTCCAGTGCATTCTTAGTCGCCATCGCCTGCTCAATGATGCTGCTGGTCATGGAGCGTGACGAATCCACGGCGCGGCGCTCGTTCAGCAGCGAGTCCATCTCGGCGTCGTCCGAATGACCGGTGTGTGCTCTGCAGTTGCCATCACATGATAATAACCACATTAGAGACCAGCTAATGAAAAAAATGCAGCAATACTTCGCCACTCCATAGCGCCAAGTGCAGCACGCACCTGTTGCCAAAAAGCTTTTGTACATCCCGCTTCTCCTGCAAGGCGCTCTGTGCAGTATACACACGTGAATTGATGCACCCGAAACGCAGTTAGGAGGGCCATACAAAAGAATTCGAGCCGCCCCGCGCGCATGTTGACGAGTCTTACCATCGAACGACGAAACTCTGTATTAAAGTCGAAATAGACCTCACGGTAGCGCTGTAGCATGGCATCCTGCGTCTTCACTGACGTCTTGTTCACTACCACATTCATCTCGTCGATTGTGTCTGACAACTGCACGTAAGAAGCAAGCACAGGTAGATAGATCCACAAGTCGTTAGCATTTTTCTTTCCTTGCAGTATCAGCATTCTACTCACCGATGCCAGTGCATTCTCAATATCCACTGCCAACTCCCTCTCATCTGCAGTTTCCTCTGGTGGGTTCTCTGATAAACATCACAAATTAAGCCGCACTGTAGCTTTAGCATCATCATCCTGCTCGCTGTTCTAATTCTTACTTTCCAATCCTCACCTTCGTCATACACCGCGGAGGAACTACGAGTCTGTGCTCTACTAACCGCCGTATAGGCCGCGATCTTGTCCTCCAATGTGTGCTCCGCCGCCCGTGCACTGCTTCGCAGCTCCTCCCACGTCCGTGTCGCCGTCTGCATCATCTTGATTCCTCCTAACAATGACTTCTCGTTTGTATTGATCTTTGTTCTCCCATACAATTGGCCAAAAAAAAACGTTTTGGTACCCTCATTTGCACACACGCGTCAGATTAGCTAAGATGAAGGGCGCGGCTCGGCGTCTAGCGGCCGCGGTGGAGGCCATGCGCACCGGAGGCGGCTCCGTCGCTGAGCAGCAGGCGCAGCAGAAAGAGCTTGTACAGGCTCTCATTGTTCTGCAGCGTCTGTGGAAGCCAGAGCTGCTGACAAACCCCTCACCGACTACAAAACGGAGCGGCAAGAGCAACGCGGCACTATTCCAGCTGCTGCTGGCCACGCTTATCGTGTACAGTGGTGGTCACGCTGGAAACTCCAATGCGGGCGCGGCAGGAGGTAGTGCGGGTGTTTCGCTGTCGTCATCCAGCGTTCTCACATCCGAGTGCGTCCATCGCCTTGTGTGTGACTTACTGGTGCGATCCTTCGACTTCTCCGTGGTGCCTAATATCAATGAAACGCTGCTAGCCAAGAGCACATCACTGTACGTGAAGGTTTCGCTGGTTATGGTGGTCTGCCGTCTACCGCTACAGGAAGCGCTGCAGTTTTTGCCGGATGCGGTGGCTCTAGCCAATAAGAGCATCCGAAGTGCAGATTATTATATGAAGCAGTGCCTTATTGAGAGTGTAGCTCATGCTCTGGAAAAGGACTCGACGAGATTAGTATCTTTCCATGCAGAGGCATTAAAGATCGTGAACAAGAGCATCCTAGACAAGGTGACGGAAGTCAGGATCGCTGCTGCAAGGCTGCTCCAGGTGGTAGCGGAGCGCACATCCGTGTCGACAGCTAACACCGGAGCTGCTGGAGCTGCAGGAAGTCAAGGGGGCAGTGGAAATGGAAGTTCTAGTGGAGTTGGGGGTGCTAGTGGGTCTATGACTGGGGCGATTACAGGAGGCAGTGCGAACGCTCAAGGCGTTTCGCTTGATTCAATTTTACAGATCACTGCTAAGGGTATGGATGATGTGGCGCCGGAAGCGAGAAGAGCGTACTCTGTGGTGGTCGGTGTGGTACTTGCCAAGTACGCAACGTCCTCGGGAGAAGCAGAAGCACAACCAGGGGCTGAGAGCAATGGAGTGAGTGGCGCGTCTTTGAGAAACAATGATGATGACAGTGGACGAATCTCGATTGAACACGACACACCTCCATCTAGTGGAAGTGGGAAATCCAAGACAGGTTTTAAGCTGCATGTTCCTGGCATCAACCTACCGTCTTCACTCTCTCGCCGGAAAGCAGCAACGGTGGATTTCTCGACCATCGCAAGCGTGGTGCTTTACTTTAAGGACATGATGAGCACCAAGTATCTTTCGACGAATCCGAACCAGAGTCATGGAGGCATCCTGGCCTCGTTCTCCATCGCTCTGTGCAGCATGTTCGAGCATCTACCTCCTGATTCAATCCCCGAGTTCCAGTTGCGCGAGGTTATGGATGCCATACTTGCTATTCTTGACTATCCATTCGCGCTGGGAGACTTAACTCGAGCGCGTAATGCCGTGGGCTTCGTATTGCGTTGTGGACTTAATCGATGTCTAACGGAACGCCAGCAAGAAGTGCTTCTAGGTGCTTATCTACAAAAACTAAAAGATGAGACTCAATCACCAGACCCGAACCATCACAAGATCCTGTCGACGTTATTGGAGATGAGTCATATGTTTCATTCGATGGGCGAGGCTTCTGTAACTCACGCACGTGATGCCAGCGACGTCCTTCAAGGACTTATTTGTCATGAAAAGCAAAGTGTTCGCTTCCAAGCTGCAGTCGCACTGGCTTCGCTTGTCACGGCAATCCCATACCGACTTAAGAATGTGCTGACGGATTGTATCCAAGGCCTTCGTGATACAGCAGAGTATTTGATGCGAGGAGGTTCAGACGTCGAAGAAGCGAGAACTGCGGAGTCAGTTGAGAAGACCGAAGATGGTCAAGATGAAGGTGGCGATATGCAAAGCAAGGCTCACTTGTATGCGATTCAAGGCAGATCCACAGCAATCGTCCATATTGTTCGCGCTATCAAACTTGACGGCAAAGGTGGATTATCTCAGACGATCATGGACGATATTTACGCCATCTCGGAGGAACTTGTCGAGAGTCAGTTCTTTAATGAATGTGCGGACAGTATTTGGCTCACCTGCACGCGTGCTGGTTGGACACTGGTTGGAAGTCTTGTGTCCATGAATGACGAGCACTGGATCAAGGCAAATTTGGAGAAGCTCCTGAATTTATGGCTCAAGTCCAGTGTATTGCACAGTCGCGAATCATCTCTGGAACTGCTGCGCATTGAGGCCGCTGTAATCCCCCTCAGCTGCTTCTTGTCCAATTGTCAGAGTGCAGCTGTAGACGCTGACAGCGATGTCTATATTCTTGCGAGTCATGTGCTCCATGTGTATTTGACGGCAACCCAGGATACGCTGAGCAACCCAGTCAAGCGCCGCGGCCAGATCGCTCGGTACCGTCTTATGGGATGGATCATCAACTGTTTCTCGGTGCTGCCTCCAATCTACAGTGATTCGTACATCGTCCTGTTGAACCTAATTGCCGAATTCACTACGGCCCAGGCTTTGACAAGCCTCAGGCACTCTTCATTAGTGCCGGCGAAATCCACTTATCTAAAGAGCGTGCTTTCATCAGAAGACAACACACTGGATGTGGTAACTCTCTCACGATTGGAACCAGGCGATTATCCATCCCCGCTATACTCCAGAGAGCTCAATCACATTCTGGGTTTGCAGCAGCAGGAAAATGCGTTGACAGATACTGAGCTCGAGGTGCAATACTTCGATACGTTTTGGAGGTCGATAGCTGAAGAAGACGCTGCGGATGGTGTAGCTAAGCCAGTAAGCTGCAGTCCGTTCACTTACGTTCGACTAGTGGACGTCAGTGTGGTTCTCTTTGGTCGGCTTTTCCACTTTATTCCGGAGGATCTACAACTACGATGTCTTCAGCATTACGCTGGAGCTCTGTCCGACGTTCGAGCGGATTGCGAGGTCAATGTTTGCTCGCTATTGTTTGCGGTGATTGCAGAAGCGAAACGTCTGGAGAAATCTGGTGCCGCACCGACTTCCTCTGCATCTCTATCTGCTACATCGTGGCCTCTTCAAATGCAGACCATGCTGTGTGAAATGATCTCGAGCGAGAACGCGGAGGTTCGTCGTGGTGCTGGCGAAGCGCTTGGAACACTGGGGATGATTCTTGGAGAGGACCATTGCAAGGGGCTGATTATTGAGCTGGAAAAACGCTTGGTTGTGGACAAGCTCCCTCAAGGTGCCTCTAGTGCTACGTTTGGCTCCAATGCTGACCTCGATGTGTCTGTTCTGTCAGCTGGCGCAGCTTTTGCGTTGGCGTGCATCAAGCGTGTTTGTGGTTCACGCATTTCTATCGACACAGGCCTCATTTTCCGCTTTGCGGGTGAGTGTTCTCAACCTCTCCGTACGTGGATCTTGCATTCGTGGAGCATTATTTTGGAATCGGTAAATTCAACTGGAGGCGATTACGAGCATTTTGTAAGCTCGACGTTTTCTCTCATGGAAGCGCATGTACTGGCAGGTTTTGTGTATTCAAAGACCAACAAGCGCGGGCTACGGTGGCAAATTAGCACGAAGGTTGCGCTGGGACGGATTATTAACGATGTGGTGGCCACTCTTGGCCCTGAACTTGATGGATCGAGTGATCGGTTGAACGAATTCTACTCTTACTGGATGCTCCTACGTCAGGATGGTGACGCACGTGTGGAATTGGAGTTCTTGAGATTCCTGGAACAAGTGGTCGTGTTTGCTCCGTCCCGCTTTCAGTCTGCAGATTTGAGGTATATTTTGCGCATCATATCCGATACCGCTCTGCTGAACTCAGCCACTTCATCGTTGCTGACAGCACAGCAGAGCTCAGAATCTCCAGCTATGTCACCGCCGTCAGGGCAGGGTCTGTCTCTGGCCACGTTTGGGAACTTTGGCGAACAATTCGAACAAAATGGTCTCGTAAATGTTGGTGTCTATACAAATGGACGGAGTCGAAGTATCTTGCAGAATGTCGGCTTGTCATGCATTCGCACCCTGGTGGAAAGAGATCCGACGTTAATTCGACGCCAGAATTTGTTTTGTCTTCTGTTTTCGGCACTCCACGTAGAATGCAACGAGCTAACGTGGCTCTACCTGCCTGGCCTACATGGAATGTGGGACGTACTCTCCTTTGCTTCTGTCGATTCTACAAGTATGCATCGAAACAGTATTAGTGTACTGCAGAGCACTGCCATAGCACTATTGGACGTTGAAGGTGGGGACCACGAAGGTGCTGAGCCATGCCTCTGGGCTTTACTGTGTCGCAGTATTGCCATTGGTGAATCAGGTACCAGTGCAAATGCAGAACAGCTAATGATGAGCCCGAAAGGAACGAACTCGGGTATTTCGATCACTGCTAACATCGACGGGGATGATGATGACACGTCGACGTGGTCACCTGTACAAGTGCCGAAGAGTGACGCGAGTTCACTTGCGATTGCCACTCAAGTGAATACGTGGCGAGCAACGAAAGCAAGCGTGGGCGACCTCATCGCGTTGATGCCGCCGCTGTCACGACAAGTACGCCATTTCGCAGTGGAGTGTGTGTTACGTGTGTTTGAATTGAAGACTGGGAGCCCTCCAATGACAACTAGCGGGAGTCAGAACAAACAACTGCACTTTGATCTTGCTGCAACGCGCCGCTATTTTTTCGACATGATTTCTGCTGGGGAAGTACTGCCAGTATCCGTGGAGTCCAACATCGGAAACTTCTTGTGTATGTATTTGGACGAGTTTGTGACACTCGCGTGCCACGTCGCCACTACGTCTGCCGAAAGTGACGAGCTCCTCATGTTTCAGTGCGTGGGTCTCCGATTGTTGAATGTCCTGGTGAAGAATTTTGCGTCGGCGCGTGACCCTGAGGTGGCAACCGGAGATGCGTACTTGTTGGATCCGTACCGTGCCCAGCTTTCGTCCGCTATCCGCCATGCTTTGAAGCAGGTACAAGTGGAGTCTTTGCCGTTAACTCCTAGTTTGGACAAGAGTGAGGAAAGATACTTCTACGCACCACTTCTTCTCGAAGCGCATGGTATTGCTGGCGCTTGTGTCTCAGCTCATCTTATTCAAGACAAGGTCGGATTGGGACGCATCCTGAGAGCAATTGTGACTCCAGATTACGGCCACGCGCATTTTATCGGAGATGAACTCACCCGCACGTCACTTTCTCTTGCAAACTTGGCGTCCGTGGCGGAACTGCTATCGTCTAGCGTCGCGGAAGCGATCACACAAAAGGATGCGCGTGACGACGAACGTCGAGCGATTGCCATATCTCCTCTCGTGAAGGCGATGACTAGCGGATTGGCTGAAACCACGGAGTATTTGTTCAAGTGTTGGATGGATTCGACCTTTGCGTACGGCGTCGTAATGCAAGGCTGCGCACAGTGGGCGGAATTGGACACACCTGCTAGTGCAGCTTTACTTACCGACGATGTGATGATTATGCCAGCTTTGCAGATGCCGCTACCACCGATCGGTGCTGCTGCGAACGCTCCAGCGGCGGCTTTGTCGACGTCTAAGGAACTACGCACGCTTTACAAACGATACTGGCCGAGAATCGTCAATGCGATGGCAACGTTGGAAGTGTACTTGCCAAAAACCGTCTCGTTATGTAGCACCCAAGAAGGCAATATTCCGAAATGGTCGTCGGCATTGCTGTCCAGCGCGGTTTTCCATGTGAATGCGAACGCTCGCGACAGAATGGAGGACGAAGGGGATCTGCCAGCCGTTCTTCGTAGTATTCCGTTGCTACTGAGAGCATTAGTTGAGAACCCCGGGGGCTCTTCTTCCAGTAACTTCCCAGTGCTATTGACAACAGCGCTGAGAACGCTCATACTGGCAAGTAAGCGATGCTCTGGCCCAGCTCAAATTGAGGCTCTGAAGGCGATATTCTCATGCTTATCGCGCGAGAATCTAGCTTTTGCTCGTGAGATGATGAACTCTGGAGACGATCAAGACCAGCGCTCTACTGACCTTTTCGATACCGTAGCGCAAGCAGGATTGTGTCCAACTGAGGTCGTTTGTCAGCTGTGTGATGCGACCGAACAGACCAGGCATGCCCGAGCTGTAAGCATCGGTAGCAGAACCACAGGATCCCGTCGAAGTTCCGTTGCGTGTGTCGAGGATACCAAGCACATGACTGAAATCGTGCAATTCGCTACAAAAGGTATCGTGCTTCTTCACACGACTGAAGAAGCGCGACACGGGGTGGTGAGCTCGCTTGCGATGGTCCAGCAGATCATTTGCTCTGTTGCTGGCGACTACCATTCTTCATCAGTTAAGAGCGCTGTGGTGACACTTAATCGTGCTTCTACCGAGTCGGTGCTAGCGCTGGCACGTGCGGTTGAAACAAGGGACTCGGCTGACAGCTTAACCCAAATCAAGTCCAGTGTTCGCAGCTGCTTCGAGTTCCTCGCTGAATGGCTAAAGGTAGACGTCCACACTGCTCCAGGATTTTCGATGCATATCGTGGCGAATTATGCTATGAGCTTCCCGACATGCCTACAAGCCGACGCAGAACGTTTCCATAATGAAGTCACAGAAACAACCTCGGCTATGTTAGGGGAGCAGATTGCACGGGGTGCTGAAGACGAGGATACGAAGAAGCAGCAACACGCTGCCAGTGCCGAACTTTTGCGAGGTTTACACGCAGTTGTGACGAAGCTTGTGGACGTGCACCAAACCTCCATTTTGAATCGTTATCTGATGGCACTCGGCCCTTCTCTCGTCGAAATTGTTGCAGTAAGAAACGGTTACCCAGAGACGCCAGCCAAGCTTGATGAACTGGATCAAGCGGAGGGATTTCTTCGCTTATTGACAACGCAGTTGAATGATCAACATGGGTCTGCGTTTGTGCACATGCTGCTCCCCAGACTTGCGACTGTACTCAGTCATCCGACACCGACAGTTGTAGACAACACGATTCCGTCGCAAGTCCCTGGTATCTTGGCTCGACTGCTGCTGTGCTTTGCACAAACTCATGCCGCTGCATTCAAGGAAGCTGTGGCGGCTATGACCCCGACGTTGCGTGGTGTGCTGGAGACTACGTTGCGTCTTGCTCTCACTGGTTCGGTTCCAGCTGCTGGAACACGCGGACACTCGTCACTTCAGCAAGTAAGCAGTCCCGCCGCGAAACTTGATCTAAGCCGATACAACTAAGCGTTTGAATGTGAATGAATTACATAAATTGTTACGTATTTGCTACATGTGCTAGCATTCATGTACTTCAGATATATCTGTAAGATGCTGGATCGGCTGTTATGGCTGCGATCTACTCACAGCGTCGTCTCTGGACGGGAAGTCGTGGCAACATTCTGCACAGCCAGTAGCTCTAGCAGACTGAATAATACTGTGTGCACAAGGTCCATGCTGTAGAGCTAAGTACACGAAGCAAAAGCAAGCGTTAGAGGACAGACAATACATGGTTCAATTCAACGGGAGCCGCACCTCAACGCCTCCATCCAAGTCAACAGCCACTTCCTGCATCTCGACTCGTTCTATCTCATAAGTGGAAAGATCAAATGGCAACGAGTCAATGTAGAGTCGCTCTACCAGCTCGATAAGCTCTAACACACGAAGCAAGACACGTCAACATCACTGCATATCGCAAAACACATCGAGCTCATCAATTACCTGGCACATAATTGGACGGTCGATTGCCTCCTGGTCCGTCTTTCGTCTGCTGGAAGAGGCGGCGCAGTGTGGCCCAGGGCACGGTCATTGTGTATGTACGCACAACATCCTCTTCCTTAGTAGCACGGTACTTCAGCTGCAACGGGGCCCGCGGCGGCTCTTGCGTGGACACGTGCTCCTCTTCTTCTTGGTTATTTACAACACTCGACCGTCTCGCTCCTTCTACCAACAAACTTGCCACGACCCAGTTACGCGCCAAGCATTTGAGGTTCTGTTGTTGTATGTGCACGACGTGTGTGCTTACCACACACTGAAAGCGGCGCTGCAGCCACGAGCAGACCCAGCGCAGCAGCTCTTCGTCTCCTCTCAATAGCAGCACCTGCTGTTTCTCGCGTCCTTTCCGCGGCGCGCGTTGCTCCTCATCTGTCGGAAAGTAAAGCACGAAGCCTCCAGAGCGTTCCCGACGCATCTCTTTCTTTTTCTCTCTGCTGAAACGTCCATCGCGCTCCTCGCGGATCTGGAAGGCCACGAACGCATCCGTGTTTCGGATACTCACGCTGTAACCGAACTGCTGTCCGCACGCCCGAAGCGCTGCAGCGCGTAATATCTTGACCAGATCATGCGCGTATTCGCTGAGCTGTTCGTGGTGGAAATGGAAGAGCGGAGACGCGCAGTGGAAGACCCAGCGGCGGTCCAGCAGCACCTGTTCCATGCTCACACGTTCGCGTTCACGCCGAGCAGCAGCCTCACGCGGAGTCTCCTTCGCTTTCTCGCCGTCCTCGGGAGTGCGCGTGTACTGTGACGGACGCATGGGCGAGCTGTACGCCTCTCGAAGCTTCTGCTGCTGCACAGCCGACATTGGCGGCTGTGGGCGAGAGTTCTCCATGGGCGGCGTTTCCACTGCGCTGCTGCTGGGACAGCAAATTGTCATCACGTTGTGGCGTAACGGTTTATGAAAGTCGGAACAAAGGCTCATGCTGATTGGTAAATCTGGTGAAATTTTTGTGATAGTGGCCGACGCTGACGTCAGAGGTGCTCTGGACCTCCCTGAATAACTGGACTACACACGTATGTATACACTATCCACCAGCCAAGAGGAGGAAGATGAGGATCACCACGAGCACGAGGATGATGAGGTAGAGCTTGGTGTTGTTGCTTTGCTTGGCCACCTGAATGTTTTTTTAGAGCAGAGAGAGTGTTAGTCACAACGATAAAAAGAAAAACACTTCATCCGATGAACTTTTCATCATACCCGTGCTGCTCGAGCGCCCTCGGACTCAAGTCCGTCCGTGACGCGAGTCACATCGTCGTCGATCTCGTTCAGAAGTCGCACGTGCAGCTCGGTCTCGTCCTTGACAGTCAGGCTGTAGTTGCGCAGATTAGATACACCCTGGCCGATCAAATCCAGTTGCTGGTCCTGGTCCTTCATAATCTGGTTCTGCATGCTCAGCAGTCGCGCTGGTGCGTCCGCTGCTCCAGGACTAATTAATACATCAAGAATATTAGCCTTTTTGCGTAGTCAACCTGCGCCTCGGGTCTTGAACGCACCTCACCGTAGCCTTAGAAGTCTTCCGGCTATTATACATGTCCAAGTCCTCTTGCTGCATCAACCAAATCGACATACTGTCAGACTCGTCCAAGCTCCTAATATTTGCACTCTACGTCTTACCTGGTCCCGTGATAACTGGTTGAGCAGTCGCTCACGCCGCTCGATCTCCTCCTTTGTCCTATCGGTAGCCGTTCCTGTCAGAGACCTCACACACTAATAGCATCAGCAACAGTACCATACACTGAGCTGGAGGATCGCTTGAGTTGGTCGAAGTCCCGTTTGAGCCGTGAAACGCTCTGCTGCAGCGCAAAGACGCTAGTGCCGATAGCACCCGAGTTGCCCGTACGGATCTTGCTGGACAGCACTTGTTCCTGCCCGCGTGCACTCTCTAGCCTGTCCAACCACGAGGCCCATGCCTTCGCGCTCATGGTCACTGTGTAAAGCCTTCTTTTCCGAGAAATCTTTGTACCGATTCTGATTCATATCTGATTATTGTCTGATTCGCATGGCTATTGGGTGAAATTGCGTTTTGGGTGATTGGCCAATAGAGCGGACCACAAGTGGAGAAACAGGCAAGGCAACAAGACCCAGATCACCATGAGCCAGCGGGAGTTCGAGCGCAAGATGGAGGAGCACATCGAGGAGATGCGTGTGACGCAGACCATCGCGTACTTCAGTCGCACGGTGGAGCTGTGTTTCACGGACTGCGTCCATGCCTTCCGCAGCAAGAAGTTGGATGACAAGGAGACGTCCTGTGTCAACAACTGTGCCGAAAAGTTCCTCCGCCACACCATGCGCTCTTCCGTGCGTCTACAGGAGAGCTACGCCGAGATCATGCAGCAACAGCAGGAGCACCAGAAATAGATGGCGTCAATACTCGAAGCTTCGAGTCAAGACACAGTGGCCAACAGAGGGCAGACAATAATGAATACCCGATCTAGACGATCGTTGTGGTGCTTCAGGCCCGTCCTTGTATTGATCTTTGGTCTTGTGGGCAACATCTTCTGCGCAGTTACTTTGAATGACGCTCATTAGAGCTACTAGCAACAGATAAGGCAAACTCCCTTAGACGCTGAGAGGACTGTGGAAATTGCTTGGAAATATTACTGGGATGTATGTAGCGAAGCTAACGTTAGATACAGGGAGGCCCAACGCGGATTTTCCTGGCTTGAAGAGCTGTATGGACAGCCTCACACAGATTAATTCGTTCCAATAAAGTTGCCTGTAGCACAAGTAACTTCTAGATCACATCACGACAGATACACAACCAGCGACTACGTTCACACAAACTACGTATCTTCTCCAAAGTTCGTTGCCTTAAAAGCGTTCCTACAAACCATTCCCCAACAGACATCGTGTGCGTCTAAAGGAGAGTTATGTTGCATTAATTTATCCCATTTGACTCCCAAGGCCAGTTGCAGTACCATTACAGCATGAGCGTCGTGAAATTAGCGTTTACCTTAAACATTCACTGCGCAACTCAACTCAAAGAGCGTTATCAGACCCAAAAAGAAAACAAATATGATTTAATGCTGAGCGGTGGTGAGCATAGGGTCATATTTGTTTTCGTCTCACCACAGCAACGCCACTATCTCAAAATCAAGGCTTTTTGGATAAACTAGATATCTCGAAGTATGAGAAATAAAAAATAAGGACGTTGTTTGATATCAGTAGCGGTGTGAGGTTGTAATTCTGCTACTTCTTCGGCGAAAAAAGCCGCCGAAGAAGTAGGTCCCACACTTTCACTTATCACGACAAGATAGCTATCTCAACCTTTATGGGCCCAGCTGACCGTTCAAGAATTTTGTTAGTTTGAGCTTCCACCATTTGCTGGACTAAAAAAAAAAATTATGAAAAGTGTTGGTTAAGCATGACTCGCCTCGTTGAGAACAGAACAATGACTTGTGTCGAGATTCCGTAACCAAGAAGTGGTAACACTGTAGTAACGGTGATAAGAGCTACGCCACGGAGTGCGGTGACCACAGTAACTACTACTACGCCAACGCAACCACTACTAATTTGTGACAAGGATTGCTACTAAGTTGATTATTGACAGATTCCCCCCCCCCCCCCCCCACACACACACATATTATAAGCCCTCTCTAACAGTTGAATATCAAATAGCTTTGGTACAGTGATAGGTTCCTTTTTCATCAACCTATTCAGGTTTATAATCCAGTACATTTGTATCGATAGATCTGCTTTGCTTTTTTTTTTTTGTAAATTCAATTTATAGAAGCCTTATTCCAAGAGACGGAGTTCATTTTCCACGATTGTCCCTCGTCAGTCTATTCACCACAGTTAGTAAGTAGCCTCGCACTGCTTAGAAGCCCCCTCTCAAAAGTGATTGGATTTTATGAACAATATTGAAAAGTGATCTGGGCCCACTATTTGGTGATATCCGTTATTAACCCCTCGAAACCGGAGTTCAAAAGTAAAACTTAAACTGCATCTGCAGCATAATTTGACTTGGCATTTGTATTTAAAGGGATAGGGAACAGGAAAGTGTTCAGAACAAGGATTGCTAATGTGTGCATAACATTGCGAAACCTACAGTAACTTGCATAGTGACAGCTCCAGTTTCAAGTGTGCGGCGCATTATGCAGCTTAGTACAAAAATAGACTGGACAGTATATCTAACCCTGTGAACAGAACCACCCACGCCTCGGACGAGACTTGGGAGAGGAGAAACAAATACCGGTTTTACTCGCTCCGTCCAGGAAAGAGAAGACAGTAAAATGGGATGTGCCGTCTCGCTGTCAAATCTCTCAAAATTTGGAGACGAAACGGCAATCTCTAGAGATCAATCTCGCCTTTAAGCGCGACCGTTTCAGTCCTTTTTCGATTCTTTTGAAAATTCCACCAGATCTCTTCAATCTCTCTTCGGTGATGTCATCGACCCGGAACGTTGTGGTGTTCAAGACGACCCGGAACGTTGTGGTGTTCAAGACGCCCCGGATGTGAACGAGACACGCATAGATGAGGAACTCGAGCGATGGGAAACCTCGGTCACCTCCATTCAGACCAACGGCAAACGTCCCGAGACCATATTGGAATACTGGAAACGCCAATCGGACGGTGGTGCGTACAAGTTCCTCCCGCTCGTGGCTCGAATTTTGTTCGCCATACCGACGTCGTCCGCTCAAATCGAGAGAGACTTTGGTACAGCAGGCCAGCTCGTAACACCACAACGTGGATCTATCGCTCCACACAATGTTGACATGTCAACATGTCAACATGTCTCAATTGCAATAGGGCTTTTGTGGATATTACGCAGTGTCCGAAGATACCGAAGAGGGACATTGAGATGCACATTCCGTGTAATGTCAAGGTAGGACTGGAAGATGGCGACATGGAAGGATTCGAGCTCTTGGATGGGTACTTCTCCGGTGATAGTGACTTTGACGTTGATGACGAACTCGACGCTTAGGTAAGCAGAACAGCAACCATAATTTGTTTAACAGCAAATATAAGCCACATGCATTGTGTTTAGCTTCGACAGCTTACTTATCAGCTTGTTTTAGTAGCATTTCAGCCAGTTTTAGGGCTTCTTCGGCTCTTTTCTTCTTGTTCGCCTTGCGATCGTTGCTTCTTAGCCTCACCGCTAGTTCAATCTGCTCCTTTGGAGTGGGAGTTGGTTTCTTCTGATGTCGATTCCGTTGTAAGCCTTGAGGGGGCCCACTCTGGTTTTTTTGGCGGCACTAATCAATACCCGAGATCGGGCAACTGCTCTTGCCGTGACTTTGGCTTGCTCTTCCATACAATCAACTCGTAATTCTTCCAGCTTTACCATTTTATCTGGTTTTGGAGTCCTCTTTGCAGCGCTCAACAACTGGCCCAGTTCCTGAATGAGTCTGCCAGACACATCTTCCTGTTCCTTGACACGAATTTCAGTAAAATCCGGAGCTCTTACCGATGGCGTTGCCAAGCTGCACTCTGCAATATCGGCTTTAGATTCATCGTCTTCTTCATCTTGAAGGTCTGGGGTAGCTGGCTGCACTGGCTGAAACGATACGAGATTGGATTGAGAGCTTCTGTAGATTGGACCATCGGTGATTTTTATAATCGACTGAGCCTTCGACGCCAATTGAATGCGTTCTTCCGTGTGACGAATTGCATCGGCAATTGTAGATTCTTTTAGTTCCGCCATAGTTTGGAGTAATGACGTCTTAATTGCAGTGTGAGCAGCATTCTCGGTCGCATGATGTAGACGCACAATAGATTTTTTTTTCGCTCAGCACTACGCTGTGCTTGGTCCACTTGTGCACTCATCTCATGTTGAAACGCAGCCATTTGTTGTTGCATTTCCTTCATAATTGCTTTACTGTGAGTCGCAATTGCAAGTTGTATTTGGGCGTTAACTTGTTCCATGTGGGCTGAGAGCATTTCACGCATGCGTTGATCAAAATGCTCATGGAGCTGGTCTTGAAGCTGCTTGAAACCCTCCGCCATTCAAACGTCGCTGATGTGAGCATGCTGCACAGCATGAGCTTTGACAGCAGCACGGGCTTCGCTGTGGGCAACATTGTTCGCAGCTGAAATGGCTGATTGCAACTGAGAATTCACGTGTAGCTCGAGCGCCACTGGATCAATCTGCGTTGACCGGATCATCTGCGCAAGTGCTTCGGTTCTTGATTCGTCTTCTGCTCTCGCTTCTTGCACACGTGCTTCAGTGTAAAGCTGTTGTTGCTGGAAATTGAGTTGTTGATTGACGTGCAGTTGGACCTGATGGCTGGCTAGATCATGGGCTTGGGCGGAGACGTATGCTATTGCCCTACCAAGCTTTCGATTGGTGACCGTTGTGGCCGACTCCTCAGCATACACCACAAGCTCGCTGCTTTCTTCAGACGCCATCGCGGATGCGGACACGACTCCTTAAGATCGCGAGTAATTGGTTGTGTCCGTTAAGCTAAACCGAAGGAGAGGTCTGTA